CTCAGATTTTACTGGAGAGCTTGTTAGTTGCGGGAAGCGTTTACTTCCTTGCTAGAGCGTTTTGTACAGATATTGTAATACTGGTAGGTAGTTTAACATGCTGCAGAACTGGGGACCCTTCAAGAAATTTTTCCAAAAAACTTTCTGGCAAAAGTGAAATATCCAACTACGTTATTTTTCTTATATCAGGGTTTGCATATTTCTCTCGCCCCCTTGGGCATTGGGAATGACCCCATAGCAAGCACTGCTTAGCCACTCAAACTCCTCTGGGAGCAATGACCATGCTTTCTGCCCCATGATGTTCCCCTTGAGTTTCAGTGGGGTTGGTTGGTTTTCTTCACTTCTTGTGCCAAGCTATGGTGTTTATACTTAGATCTGAATTTTTTTTTTTAATGGAAAACATTGAATTTTTGCTGAAAAAAAAGAAAACTTCCACCCCAAAACCTCAAAATTTTGATTTGAAATGCTGCCCCACTGCTTAATGGGAATTTTAGTTTGGTGGTCTCATGCCTCCATTTTCCTCTATGGGCCAGCTCCCTGGTCAGACTACATCTCCCACAATACACCACTGTCACCCTTCTTGTTGAGCCACCATGGTGTATCACAGCAGATGTAGTCGGAACCTGCCTGTAGAGGAGAATGGGACCACGAGCTGAACACCAGCTCCCAGAAGGCACCGCAGCAGCATTCCTGAATCAAATTTTTTCAGGTATTCAGTTTTTCAACTAAAAGTTGAGATTTGCAGTGGGACTCAGACACTTTCCACAAAAAAACTTCTTTAGTCTATGCTCCAATTTTCCATCAAATAAACAGTTTCCACCGGGCCTTGTGTTGCTGCACTCTATCGCACAGCCATGACATTCCACCCCAGAGGTGGCTGCAGTTCAGTGGGAGGAGAAGAGAATGCTGAAGCATGTGATTAGTCAAGGACTACTGATGAACATGTGAGGACCATGCTGATATAGTTACCATCTTTAAGCAATACCCTGTGTGTTGAGAGAGGAGAACAGGGGGTTCAGGTGAAGGTTGGGAAGGCAGGGCAGCGATGCAGCATAGATGTGTGTCAGTGCTGAGGTTTTGGATTGAGTCAGAGGCCATCTTTGGAGGTGACCCAAGACGCACCCAGGGGTACTGCCTTGTTCTGCCTTCCTTTGAGGCTGATGCTACCTGGAGTCACTTCTCTGCCCTCCACGTAGGGCACCATCCGTGATGCCTCCACTGATTTCCCCTTTGTATGTCTCCAGGCTTCAGATGATCCTGGTGTTAAAAACAGCGAAAAAACAAACAGCTGAGTAAAGTCAGGCTAAGCATTGACAACCCTGGTCATGTTTTCCCCATGTGATGGGATGGGGATTGATGTAGACCAAGAGAAATCACATTCTCGCCACTTGTGCAACGTTCTCCTGAACCAGAGTGGCTGAGATGAGGTCCTTGCAGATGAGTCTGTTCCACTCCAAGATCAGGTCGCCATCCCACTCCTTGCGTCCCCCAGGGATGCGGAGGAGGAAGATGGAGCAAGTTCGCCTGTGTTGGCTTGGATTGAAAGCCATTTCTCTATTGAGACATTGGAAGACTTTCAGTTTCACATGAACGTGGGGGGAGGGGGAGGCGGCGTGAAAGGCTGGAAGATAATGCATTGGATTGGGACTCGGGAGATCTGGGTCCAGTGCCTCCCTGTGTGACCTTGGGTAAGTCACCTCATCTCTCTGTGCTTCAGCGCCCCGTCTCCACCGTGGAGATCATAATTCTCCTACCCTTTCTGGCTTGGATGCAAAGTTCACTAGGCAAGGACTCGCTCTTGCAGGGTGTATGTACTACCCCTAGCATAATGGGACTCTGATCTTAGCTGGGGCCTGTTAGGAGTAGCAGGAAGTGAACGGTGCTGGATTGACAGCACTGAAGGCCTCTGTTTAGCCGCAGGATAGAGATCACACGTTGGCGACAGTACAGGCATTCTCCAGGTTGCTGCCCTTCCCTCCCTGCTCTCCCAGCGTGCCTCCATCCATCCCCAGAGGGACCCTCCCTAGGGGCCGGAGGAGAATTCAGTCAAAAATGGTCCTTCACCTTGCTGGAGAAGTAAGTGCCTGTCTCCACAGTGGTGGCTTTGGGATATAGACACCAGTCCCGCTAGGAGCTGGACTGAGATTCCCCCCCCAATCCTGCGCTGAGGTGAGGATGAGCTGGTGACTCTGATGCTGCGCACAACAAACCGTATCAGAGATCACAGATCCTCCTCTCTGCAATCCAGCATCCGTGATGGGCTATTGCCAGGAGATGATTAGCCTGCTCCCCCCAGAGCGCTGTGACTCAGATAGGCATCTTGTTTTGGGAAGAAGGATGCTCTCGCTCACCTCCCACCATCAGGACACGCTTGGGGAGATGTTAAGATCCGCCAGCCACTTGGCTCGGTGTCAGCCAGCTGTTCACCCTGTGTGGATACAGTAAGAACAAGGAGAGTACGTGCTTATGTCAAGTGACCTTTGGAAAATGAGCCCAGCATGTGTTCTCACTTAGCCGGGCTGGGCTTGCCCTCCAGAAACTTCCATCACCCCAGTGGAAAGAGGCGGACTGTGTGGATTTTAATTGGGAACAGCCTGCCTTCTGCACTGGGGTTACCAGTGTGCACAGGCTGTTGAGAGCTCCAAGGAAAGTGGCCGATGGCATTGCCTGTTTCTTGTTGGGGAGCTCGGGTTCAAATCCAGCCCTGGTCACTTGTGCAAGGAGTTTGGCAGCATCACTTCTTGGCACCCTTTGGATACAGCATTGCTCTGTTCTTGAAGCCCAGTGTAGGAGAAGCAAGGGTTTTGCAGGCCAGGGCTGAGTGCTTTGTTGGATGGGGAGCTTGGAACTGGATTACTATGAGATGTTGCAAGACAAGAGTGTGGGGCAGTGGCAGAAATATGCATAGGACCCAGGACTGGGTAAGGTAGGGTTGCCAACCCTCCCGGTTTCACCAGGAGTCTCCCAGAATCAGGCCCATCTCGCAGAGGATACTGAAGCCAAACCGGGAGATTTGAGGCTGCTAAAAGTCTGGCAGTGCAGCGGGGCTCTGCACGCTGCCCCCGACTGCAGGCTCCCTCCCCCTGGCTCCACGCAGCTCCCGGAAGCTCTCCATTGGCCAGGAGCTGCAGGAGGCGGCACCTGCAGGCGGGGACAGCGCGCCGAGCCCCCATGGCCGCCCCTCCCCCTAGGAGCCGGAGGGACATGCTGGCCGCTTCCTGGGACCCGCCTGAGGTAAGTGTCACCTGGAGCCCACAGCCCTCAACTCCTCCTGCACCCAAACTCCCTCCCAGAGTTTGCACCCCTTCCTGCACCCCAACCCCCTGCCCCAGGCTCAGCCCAGAGCCTCCTCCCACACTGAAAACCCCTCGGCCCAGCCCAGAGGCTGCGCCCCCCCCCCCCCAACCCCCTGCTCCATCCCAGTGAGGGTGGGGGAGAGCAAGCGACGGAGGGAGGGGGGAATGGAGTGAGTGGAGGGGGGCCTAGGAGAAGGGGCGGGGCCTCGGAGGAGGGGGAGGGGTGGGGCAGGGGATGCCAAGGGTGTTTGGGTTTGTATGATTAGACAGTTGGCAACCCTAGGCCTGGGTTTCATGGGCCTGCCCTGCTTTGACCCCCACTAAAACCCCTGTCCTGGTTGAAGGGCCCCCAGACCGAGAGGTATACAGACCTAGTGCAGAGGATCGCAGTGCCACTCCGGTTTGGCCCATCCAACCCTCTGTCTCCATCTGCAGCAGGGCAGAAAGGCCGAACCTCAGTGGCGGGGCGGGGTGCTTTAGCCATTGGAAATGTTGGGAGGGATGAGGAAAGGTGCGGTGGTAGAAGTGTGCGTTTGTGCGGGGGCAGGGTCCCAGCCTGCTAGCAGATGGTGCGACGGAAACCAGAATTAAAGTGCACTGGCTGGTCAGGGATAGATGCTGTCTGCTGTGTTGTCTCAGAGCAATGAAATTCGTCATGTTCTCCGACAATCCTTCTGAAAAAGAAATGGTGAAATATCGTCAGTTCGCTCTTATGGTGCACCTGATCTTTAATGCTTTACAAAGGAAGGTCGGTAACATTATCCTCACTTTGCTGATGGGGAAACTGAGGCATGGCAGTTGTCCGAGGTCATACATCTGCATCAGAGCTGGAAGCCGAACCTGTCTCTTCTGGCTCCCAGCCCGGTGCCCTATAGATCTAGCAACAGGCACTGGGCATACTCCTGGTAGAACGGTAGTCAGTGCAATTCTATCGGCGCTGGACCTCTCTTGTTAGAGCTTGGAGAAGAGCTTTCCAACGAGGCTTTCTACCATGTGCACAGAGGACACGCTCTGCTTCCATCAGGAAAGGAAGGAATGCTGCATGTTCCGGCGATTCACCAGCATCTGGGGGCTTGGGTGGGGGCTTGGGCCCATTATAGTAGACAGCATGGAACACGCCTTTAAAAAACAGGCTGGTCTTGGCAGGGAGCATGCACATGGAGGGGCTGCGGATGGTTTCCTGATGGGGAGGAAGGGATGGTCTTGTGGTTAAGGGGCGGGGGAGTCAGGGCATGGGTTCCAGTCTCTTTTCTGCCACTTACATACTGTGGGGCCTTAGTTAAGTCACTTAAATTCTCCAAGCCTCAGTGCCTCTGTCTGTGATGGGAGGATGATCCTCAAAGGGGGGGGCAGTTCAGGCTTCATTAATGTTTTGTCAAGTAGCTTTGAAACCCGTGGCTGGGAGATGGCACAGAAATGGCAGGTGTTCGGAAGTGTTAATTCTCAGTGTTTCTATGGAGGAGAGCTTAGAGCTAGATGTGCAGGAGCCGTTAATGGGTCAGACTTGTCCAGCCAGCGGCCCACAGTAATTCCACCCCCATTGGCCTGGGAGATGACGATGAAGCATCAAGAAGAGGAGGGTGTAGAATGCCCCTTTGGTATCTCGGCAGTATCCCTAGGAGACACCTAGGGATTGTCCCTGTAATGACATGGTTGGGACGTCCAAAGCCTCCTGCTAATCCCTTCTCCCATCTTCTTTTCCAGACTTCCCAAAGCTCCTCCAGCTACCTCCTGCACTGCACTGCTCCGCTCCTCCCCGCTGCCCCCCGTGACCATGAGAGCAGTCTGTCTCATCCTGCTGTGTCTGCCAGGTGAGTGCAAGGCATCCCAGCCCCGAGCCCGCTGGCATGGGCAGGCCAGCATGGCATGCATGTACCTTGGAGAAAAGTGACCTGGTGCACCTGGTAGAGTCACTGTGAGAGATCCACCCACCTGGTCAGTGATGGACCAAACCCAGAGGGTGGGGGGAGGCACAGTCCCTCTCCCACAGAGCCTCTGATCTAAGCAGAAGAATCACACCATTCAGGTGTACGATGCACTGACCGACCGGCTCTCCAAGTGTGGCAGAGTTTTCATCTCCTGAAGCTCGGACTCAAATGCCTCTCCCGGGACTGGCAGTCACTGCTCGGCCTCCCGAAAGAGGGGCATGGAGGGGGAGGAGTGATCCAAAGCGATTTGAAGGGGAGAGGGAGTTTGAACTCTATGGGGCAATGTGGCAGAAGGTAGAAAGTCAAGAGCAGGGGGAGGGTCCAGAGGAAGGGGCGAAGCAGTCTCCATCCACAGGGCTTCAGGGGTGAATAGAAAAAAGGGAACCGAGGACAGGACCGCCTAGTGGCTACAGCAGTGGTTTGGCCTTAATGGGCCTGGGTTCAATTCCCTTCTCTGTCACAGATTCCCTGTTTGTCACTTAGACTCTCTGGGCCTCGGTTTCCTCACCTGTGAAATGTGACGACATCCCTTCCCTACCCTCCGGCAGTGCTGGGGGGCTGGCCGCTGCTTTGAGATCCAGGGACACAAGGGCCTATGTAACAGCAGATTATTGCATCATTAATGACATTTTATGCACTTCTCCCTGTTGGCGTGTGGAGGAATGGGGGGTCGCCAGGGAGATGGCATCACTGTTGATTGTTGGTTTATGTGGATAATTAACGAGGCTGTAGGGTGTCTGTCCCCGGAGCAGGGCAGGAGGATGGCGGTGGCTCTGTGAGGTTAGACTGCATGTCTCCAGCCTGGGCAGCGAAGAGGCTGCTGGTCCTAGTTAGAGTTGCACACTTTCTATTTGCAGAAAACCGAATAACTGTGCCCCACCCCTTCCCTAAGGCCTCGCCCCTTCTCCAATGCCCCGCCCCCACTAACTCCTTCCCCCCTCCTTCCATCACTTGCTCTCTCCCCCAGTCTCGCTCACTCATTTATTTTCGCCAGGCTGAGGCCAAGGGGTTTGGAGTGCAGGAGGGGGCTCTGGGCTGGAGCAAGGGGTTGGGGTGTGGGAGGGGGTACGGGGTGTGGGCTCCAGGAGGGGGTTTGAGGTGCAGGCTCTGGGCAGCGCTTACCTTAGGTGGCTCCCGGAAGCGGTGACATGTCCCTCTGCCTCCTAAGTGGCCCCGGGGGCTCTGCACGCTGCCCTCACCCACAGGTGCTGCCCCCGCAGCTCCCATTGGCTGTGATTCCCGGCCAATGAGAGCTGCAGAGCCGGTGCTTGGGGCAGGGGCAGTGCACGGAGCCCCCATGGCCATCCATGCACGTAGGACCCAGAGGGACATGCCGGCAGCTTCTCGAGAGCCAACTGGACTTTTAATGGCCCAGTCAGTGGTGCTACCAGAGCCACCAGGGTCCCTTTTCGACCAGCGCCTGCACAGAGGGTAACAAACGTGGGAAACGTTCCCAAGCGGGGCCGAGAGAGACCAGAGCATATGTGCATTGGCGCTGGACAGGGAGTGGGGAGCGAAAGACTAGAGGAGAGGTGAGGGGTGTGGGGGGTAGGGGAAGGGACCAGGCAGTGCATAGAACAGCTGGTGACCCATGTGGTTCCATCTGTTAGAGCTTTCCTTACGTGACAAGGGTTGCAACAAGAGATCTCAGTGGAAGGCTGATGAACCCGCAGGATGCCCCAGGCCCAGCTACTCGCAACGCAGCAATTGTGCAATTAGGACCCAATCCAACAAGGCACTGAGCACCCCGCGCACCCGCCATTCAACAGCCACAGGGGAGAGGGTGCTCAGCACCTAGCAGGTGGAGACCTGATGTGCAGAGCGGGCCCGTAGCAGGTGGCATAAGAACCATGCGGCAGCCGGGCGCTTGGGCTGTGCCTTGGTCAAGCAGTCGGAGATGGGTCTTCCCCTCCAACTCCGGGCGCTCCCCTGAGATTGTCATCAGGCTGCCTACTGCCAAGCCAGCCCCGCAGCTGGTACCCCTGAGGGCAGGCCCAACCAGCCCACGCAGAGGCAACGCCGGTGGGGAGAAGGAGCCAACCCATCTTTGCCCGGCTGCCTGATGGCCACTGTCAGGTGGGGAGGGAGGGAGAAGGTGCTGCTCAGAGCTGGCCCATCCTGCCACACATCCCACAATACAGAACTGGTGGCAGGAACCCGGGCCAGGCAGGTAGAGGTGGGAGGGGTGTGAGCGGGTGGGCAGACAATCTAGGAGGAGATGGAGCCGGGAGAGAACTTTGTTGAGGAAACCGAGAGTGGGACATAACCACCAACGCCGAGGTGGGTCGGGGGCTAACTGAGCTGAGGCGCCTCTGTGCCCTTGTTCAGAGTAATTGGACTGTGCTGGGGATTTCCCTCTGTCTCTCTTCAGCCTGCCCTGTTTGGGATCCTCCTTGCAAACCGCCTTGCACTGCTGGAGTTTCTGCAGTCGGCTCCAGCTGGCAGCCAGGGGGTGGCTCCATGGCCGGCGTTCCTCTGAGGGACCCCTCTGGGACCGAGACGCTCTGTGCTCTCCAGAGGGGGGAGGGTTAACAGTGTCACCTTGAAAATGGGGAAGGGGAGGAATTTGCAGACACAGCAGGTGTCCCCGAGCCACTGAAGAGCGGGGAGGTGGGTGGTGGTTATATGACAGGAGCGCCCTGAAATCAGGGCCCCGTTGCATTAGGAGCTGCACAAACACTCAGTAAGGCAGTTCATGCCTCTGGAGCTTGCAATCCAACTAGCTCAGAAAAAAGGAAGTTTTGCTACCCTCATTCTACAGATCGGGGAAACTGAGGCATGGAAAGATCATGGTTTGCTCAGTGTCGCACACAAGACCTATGACAGAGCTTGGAAATGAACCCCAGTCTCCTGCATCTCCATCCAGTGCCATAAGCACAGGGCCGTCCTTTCTCTCAGGGTAAGTCTCCACTGCAGAGGAAAAACCCGTGGCAGCAAGTCTCACAGCCTAGCACTAGACTAGCCGTGTAGACATTCTCATTCGGGCTGGAGCCCCAGCTTTGAGACCCTCCCCCCTCACCAGGTTTCAGAGCCCAGGCTCCAGCCCGAGCCTGAATATCTACACTGCTATTTTTAGCCCCGCATCCTCTGAGCCCCATGTACTTGAATCAATTGACCCAGGCTCCGAGACTCGGTGCCCTGGGTTTTTCTTTACAGTGTAGAGGTACCCTCGGGCACGTGCCTTTCACTAGCTTGTTCACTGATTTCTGTGGGCTCCTGTCTCCACTATGAAAGGTCTCAGACCCTGTGATGAATCTCAAGATTGGGCCTTGAAAACACATTTCAGGTCGCATGGTTTTGATGGCTTATGTGGATGTGAGGAAAACTTTGAGACTAAAGTCCAAACTAGACCCAGTGCAAATCCATTGACTTCAGTGCAGCAACAGCTGCTTCCACCAGGGCTGAATTTGCCCCCACTTCTTAATGATTTTCCACAAGCTCTTCCCGTTCATTTAATTTTTGTTGTTTATAAAATGATGTGTTCCTGGAAACATTTCCATGGACTGATCCTGGAACGCCGTCCCGGGGTGAGAGGAGTTGCGTGGGATGAATCAAGTAGTCAGACCCTGGCTACATTAGCCAGGGGTGACAGGTGATTTCATGCACAAGCCCCCTGCCCATCTCCCCAGATGGGGTTGAAACCAGTTTGCTCCTGTCTACACTAATGACCAACTCACTCTCGACCCCAGTTAAGGAGTCTGGGAGAAATGGGGGGGGGGGGGCTCTTGTGTTGCACACCTGTTGTTAACCGTGAGTCATTCCCAAATACAGTCTACAGTTAACCTCTAATACTCCTCCTCACCTTGTCCCAGGAGGTGACAGAGCTCACGTGATAGTCTGTGGGCTACTACAGCTGAAAGATGGAAAACTGGCCTCTCGGGTGAGAATGAGTTTCTGGGTACAGCTGAGTCTAGACTCTTCTCCGTGTAAGGTTTTAACCAGTAGAGAGCAGATTCCCTTTGTGAGTTTTAGATAAATCCTAGGCTGACTAGGGCATGGGTGCCTTAGGCATTCATGGAGTCTGACCCCTTGCAAAGTCCCATCTTTCAGAAGTGTCTGATTCATAGATACTAAGGTCAGAAGGGACCATTATGATCAGCTAGACCGACCTCCTGCACAATGCAGGCCACAGAATCTCACTCATCCACCCACTCCTGCGAAAAACCTCTCACTTATGTCTAAGCTATTGAAGTCCTCAAATCGTGGTTTAAAGACTTCAAGGAGCAGAGAATCCTCCAGCAACTGACCTGTGCGCGCAAGGGAATACTGGTACCAACGCCAGCCCCCGCTCTGTGCTAGAAGCAGCTTCTACAATGTAGAGCATAGCTTCAGTATCCCCAATCCCAAGCGTTAAAAAAATCACGAGTCCAACCGCCAAAATCATGGGATTTGCTTTAAAATTGTGAGATTTAAGAAAATATATGTTGGGGGTGTTTTTTCCCTTCCCTTCCCTTCTGGTTTGTGAGCCTTTTGGATGCACTTGGCTGGTATTTGCAAGCTTTTCTCCATACTCATGAATGCTAGAAACTTTTTTTAAAATGATAGTTGAGATTCTCGTACATTCACATGACTCCTCAGGAGCTGGGGACTTTTAAATCCAGTATCACAAGAGCTGACAACACTACAGCTGTGTCCTCAGGCTTCTCTAGAGCTGAATTTGCTGTTGACAACAAATAACAGCTGTGAATCATTAAACGTGCAAAACGTCTCAGCAGTTAAATCCGATGCATAAGTGCTGTCCAAGCAACAAAGGCACAATCTCTGCTCTCAGGAAGAATCTGTCATGTACAGACAGTATGTCTAGACTAGGATAGAGGTGTTTTGGAGAGGGGAAAGGCGGTTTAAACATATGAGCTAAAACCTTTTAGCGAACATGGCTTTAAACCCTAGTGTAGTCAGGGCTCCCCTGCTGTGGAAAAGCTTTCCAATTTATAAGGACAGATAGGCACTGGAAGAGGTTACCTAGGGAGGCTGCAGAGTTGCTGGAGGTTTCTAAGAACAGGTTGGACAAACTCCTGCCAGGGATGATCTGGGTTTACTTGATCCTGCCTCAGCACAGGGGGCTGAACTTGGTGACCTCATCCAGCCGTACATTTCTATGATTCTATGAACCAGCTCGCACATCTCGTCTTGCCTACACCACGGTTTTAAAATGTGTTAATAATGACCCCTGGCGCATATCTGGCACTTTCCATCAGTAGCTCTCAAAGTGTTTTACAAGGGAGGCCAGGAGTGTTACCATCACTTTACAGCTGGGGAAACGGAGGCACAGAGTGGGGACATGATGTGCTCACCCAGCCCTGGTAGAGTCAGGGATAGAACGCAGCTTCCCTGAGTCCCCCTGTATGCTTGTGGATTGCTCTCCGTGCACAGAGTTGCTGTTCAAACCTTCTGCAAAATCAAAGGTCACTAGAAACATTTCTCTGAATTTCTTCAAATATTCTGATTGCGTCATTACGTTTTGGGCTGGGAGGGACCCCAGTCCCTAGCAGCATTTGCAGCCCTAATGTTGCAGCCTCCTGCTATTACATGAGATCCAGCAAGTGAAACCAGCCAGCCTATCTGATCCTTGAGTGGAACTGAAAGAAGCAAAGTGGCGTTAACAGTGAGAAATATGCGCCAAATGTGAAGAGTCGCGTTTGTGAAAGAACGTGCTTTTTAACGCGGTGTCACTTTAAGACTGTGTGTACATGGGAGCTAGAGAGGAACCAGTTTTACCATCCCATGACAACTTTTGAGGGAGTCATATCCCAGGTGAGTCCTCTTCCACGCCATTGGCTCGGCTGCATCTTTCTCTCTCTGGTTGAGACCAGAAATTCCATCCTGGACTCTGCGAAATCTCCGTGGAAGTTTCGTCAGAACCGTACATGCCCTAGGAATCTTTTGACAAAATTGTTTTGACCAGCTCTAGTGTGTGCTTTTTCCGGCAAAGCTTCTTGGGGCATCTCCCCTGTGCCAGCAGGAGCACGAGTGTAGACGGCGCTCGGGCATTTTCACCATCGTGTCATCTGAACTTGGCAGGTCTATAAAATACCTGTGGTCCCTGAGGCCTGTCTACGCTTGGGCTCTCGCTGCCACTGGCAGAGCTGTGCCTACAATCGAGGGTTGGCGGGGGAGAGACTTCCCCAAAATGGCTGATTTCGAGAAGGCTGAAGTTTGACTCAGATGACCAGTGGCAGCTGTGGCGAGCAGCGTAGGGTTGGGGTTCAGAAGGGTGGCAGCCAGGTGAGTACAGCGGCAGATTTCATAGGCCGGCAGGGGCTCAGCTTGGGCTGGGGTTCAGCTAGCCGGTTGTTTTGGGGGTCGGGCTGGCGCTCAGGGGCTGGAAGGCGGCCTGGGGGTTGAGGTGGTTTGGCGGGCGGGAAGGGGTGGGCTCGGGGCTCTGGTGGGCAAGGGGGCGGGTCCTCAGTCAGAAGGGGCGGGACTAGTTGGGTGTATTTTTTCAGCGATGCAGATAGGGAAGGGGCAGTGGGTAGTGATCTCCACTGGACGTTCGGCCTGTGTTTGTTTTATACATGAAGTGTGTGTGGCAGGGAGGAGAGACCCTGTGGGAATTTCCAGACTTCCATGTGCATCCCGAGGGGAAGTGTGTTTTCCAACCCCACTGAGGGGCCTGAAGATGGACAGGGGAAAACAATGGGTGCTGAGCAGTGATTCGGCTCTTACAGCTTCTTGCAAGGGTTGGGGTTTTTACCTGGTCTTGAGTCATGTTAGGCTGTTGTTCGTTCTGGGCCTAAGCCAGCTCTTCCCCTTCCTCCTCTGCCATCTGCTGCTTTGTGGAGGAGTGGAGGAGCTCTTGTTCACTCAATGACTTCCAGACGGAGGGAGACTTGTCTCAGTTTCCTGCGTCATTTGCAAAGCCCTCAACTTCCAGTGCATCGGCTTTCCTAGCTGCATTTGAATGCAATGGCTGAAGAGGCTAGCGTGCACGCGTCCCATAAGCACAGCAGGGTTGGAGGTATGTTTCCATCTGGACGTGGGTACCCCATCGGCACTCAGGGGGCCGTGGGTGTGACACGTGCTCTGCACATCCAGAGGAGAGGGCCTTAAATGTCCACTTTGCTCTGCGTCCGGCATTGTCGGTAGCTCAGCCCAGATTGGACCCCAGGGTGGTTTTAACTTGGATCCAGCCACACGTAAATCCGTTGGGCTGTCAGTCAGGTGATTGTCTGTCTGTGCACCTCGGCGGGGACGCCCATTTCTAATACACTCCCTGAACTTGTGCTTGACAAGACAAATTTACCAAGCTGCCAGCCAGCCAGTTCCAGGCACCAGACCTTGCTGTGGGTGTAGGAAAGGATGAGGGACAAGGATCAGGAGCAGACGGACTCTCTCAGTTTGCAGGCCTGCCCCACACTTGAGATCATTCATTTGCTGATTTTGGGACCTAGCACTGTTCGTTCTCTCTGAGATTGTGGCCCTCATTTGTGCTGTCTCTGTGTAGCATGACTCACCCTACGATTGGCCTGGAATTAAAGATTAATCTTTAATTAAAGATTATGTCATGTGATGAAATCTCCAGGAACACACCCAAAACTGGCAACCCTAATCCTAGTGCTTGAGTACACGGCTGGACGCATCATCCAAGAGGTGGTGGCTCACAGCTGGGTCTAAATGTTCACGCACTTGGCTAATTTGAGGCCTCATAAAGTTCCCACCTGCAGTGAGGAGGAGGATGTTTGAGGCAGGACAATGCCAAGCACACTCTCCCAGGACACCTGCAAGTCCCTGCCCGGGGCGGGGGGAGGCAGTCCACAGTGTGTGCATCTGATCAGCGGAGACGGAGAGCACTGGCCCATGTAGCTCAGTTCAATGCACTGTGCGGCCTTCGGGGTCGCTGCTATGTGAGTTCAGCTCCCGCTAGTTGAGGCTGCTTCGGTAGAGCCATTGTGGGACAAGTAACTGTCTCAGACTCCCGCCTGGCTTGCGCTGTCCCTCCTGGTTGTACGGTGCTGGTGCTGTTCGGGTCGACTTGGAGTCCTCTCCTGAGAATTCCTGCTCTGCAGGCGGCCCTGTCCAAACCCTGACAAGGGGCAATCACAGCGACTGAGCCCCTGCGGGCCTGAGCCAACCTTCCCAGCTGCCAGGAACGGTGGCTGGCCACGCTGCATGGAGACACGCTGGCGATCCTGGGGCTGAGCGTCAGGTCAGCTCTCTTCATGCAGACGAGCCCTGATGATGAAACTCTCAGGGAAACTGAGGCAGTGAAGGGCCTGTTGTCAAAGCAGCACAGAGAGGCCACTGCCTGCCGACCTTCCAGGCACTGAGCCCTTCACCCACTCAAAGGAGCCATTGCTACTGGTCTAGCATTCCCCCGATGGGCTGTCCCGGGGGGGGGGGGGGCTGGTGAACCAGTTCAGACCATGACCACCCTCGTGTGAACATGGCGGTGGAGTCCAGTTGTTGATTTCCAAGAGCTTTGCTAGGCCAGCAGATTGGGGCTCTTCCAGGGCTGCTGAGGGTGTGGTGTGGGAGGGGGGATTGAACTCACAGACACCTGGATGTTGGCTTGTGCCTAGGATGCTGGCTCCCCTTCTACGTGTCCATCCCACGGGCAGTGGGGGCAGCTTTCTTACACTGTGTCTGCCCGCACTCAAGGGACAAGCAGCGGGAGGGGCGTGGGGGGCCGTTTTGAAAGGGTCAAATACTTTGAGCACTCAGTAAACCACAATGATTTCTCTCTCCTGTGTATGTATGCATGTTCCCAGCAGCACTCCTGGCCCAGGGACAATACGATCTCGAAGGACCCCCTTATCTTGACCAGCTGCAGTATTCCCAGTACGACCCTCAGTTAGGTGAGTGGTCCTGGTGGCTTCACGTATATATCTCCCCCCTCCGCCTGCTCCATCCCTCAACATACACACCTGCTCTTTGTGTGTCTCGGTGAGACAGCTTCATTGCGTAACAGATCTTGCCATCAAGGAGGGTTTTTTCCTGATGTTCAGTCTGAATGTCCCCTTTTTGAATTTCATTCCAGTTTGTCCCACGCCAACCCTTTCCTCTCCCTCCCTGGTATTTACACCTTTCGGGTCCTTGGCGAGATCTCCTCCCAACCCATGCTCCAATCCCAGTCCACAGATGTCGCTCCATTAAACTTCCCCCTAAACCAGTCCCTGGTAATCAAAGAATCTCCGGGTTGGACGGGACCTCAGGAGGTCATCTAGTCCAACCCCCTGCTCAAAGCAGGACCAATTTTTACCCCAGATCCCTAAATGGCCCCCTCAAGGATTGAACTCACAACCCTGGGTTTAGCAGGCCAATGCTCAAACCACTGAGCTATCCCTCCCCCCCCAAATGTCTGATGCACTTCACTGAACTCTTCTGATTTATAAGATTGTAGGACTGGAAGGGACCTTCCTGGGTCATCTCAGTGCAGGGGACTGGACTGGGCAGGATTTGTTGCTATCTCCCTGGTAACAAGGTGCCCAGAGACAAACAGAAGCACTCCCAATTCTACATTCCAGGATGTTGTTGCCTTTAAACTGCATGAAATGTTTCTCACTGTCACATCGCCCAACAAACTCACAACTGATATGCTGCCCACGATCATCCCTAGCTGATAGAGAAGGTTGGGCAATTTAGGGTCCTCCCAAGTAAAATAATCTGCCTTTTCCCATCTGGCAAAGCTAATTTAGTCCATTAACAGAAGTTTGGCTAACTCAGGTTTCTACTTCCCCTGTTCAGAGTGGCTCATGAGATTTCAGGGAAATGATTATTGCAATATAGCAACTAAACTCCGATGGTTCCTGGTATTCTGTTGTGCTAGGCTGCTTCCAAGAAGTGTATTCACTGCCCATGAACCTTGATCAGTCTAAGATTTGTTAAAGATACAGACGTGTTGCGTTCCAGTACGGTAACTGTCACTGAATTAAACTGAACGTGCTTTATAGCCCAATGCTCTTTGCAACACACTGGTTGGGGGTGGTACCAGGCAAAGGTAGCAGCTGCTATGCCTTCAGTACCTGCTTTCTCTCAGCCAGGGTCTTTCAGACGTTACAGTGAGTGAGTGTTGTCCAGGCCGCTGGGATTATCATTTAATCTGATCTGGAAAAAAAACAATTATTGGGATTTTACATTCCCCCTGGAGAGTCGCTGGAAATGGGCTGAAGAGACCAATGGCCAAGATTTTCAAAAGCGACAAGTAATTTGGGGGGCCCAACTTGAAACATCTTTCAGAAAGTGCTGGACACCTGATCTCTGAAAACTAGGCCCCGTACGGTGTCTTTATCACTCCACTAGTCGCTTTAGAAAGTTTTGACCTACTGTGTCCTCGCTCAAACCATGTCTTCCCCTACTGCAGTGGGTGAAAGTTTATGCCTTGATTTTTCCCCCAGAGATGCTGATCACTTCTCCCTCCCGTTGACTTGGGCGATCAGCAACTCAGAGCAGACTTGTAAACCCTAGAGTGGATTCCCTGTACAATGCAACCACCTGGGATTCCATTGCCCTTGGGGTTAGGAAATCTGTCAGTATCCCAGGCGAGATGCAGCCACCACCAAGATGACTGGGCTCTTCCAGGGCTGGGCGAGACAGGTTTTGTGCAGGGAGAACAAGAGCAGTTTGTTTCCTTCTTCCACATGCTGTGTTAGGTCTTTGCTGTTCCTAAAATGAGACCTTTCTCTGTGCTTTGTTTTTGTTTTGTTTTTTAGACAATCAAGATTACTATGACTATCAAGGTAAGCACTTTCTCTGTTGAGCACTCATCTGCTCTTCTGAGCTGCCCTGTTTGCTCCAGCTGGCCAGCACTGGCTGGAGTGTAACTAACGTGCCGTGGAGTCGGCATAATTGTGCTTTGTTGGGAATATGAATTCTGCCATTCCCAGCCTGGCTTCTGTTTTGCCTTGATCTTGCAGGGAAGGTCTAGTCCTCTGGGGTTTTATGATGCAATCTGTTGCCCAAGTTACTATGTGGCATTGATATGTCACTGCTGGATTCAGGAAGAAATGGAGGAGGATCCAAACTGCAAAATGAGGCTCCCGGGGAAAACTGGAAAAATGACCAATAAAACAAAGCTCCTGGGGAGGGAGAGTGCTGGGGTCTCTGGCCCCGTTTGGCAGAGGGTGTGTGTGGTGCCTGATTAACCTGAACTGAACATGTCCGTTCTCCATGGCAGATGTCACCCAGCGCACTCCCGAAGAGCAGTTCCAGTATCAGTCCCAGCAACAGACCCAGCAGGAGATCATCCCAGCGCCAACCCCCGGTGCGTTGTGGAGCCTTCGCCACTCCTGGCGGAGAGGGGCTGTGGGCAGCCGTGTCTGCTGCCGGTGTAGTCCTATTGTAGTCAGTATGTCCGCTGCCGTACACTAGCCGAGGAGCAGATCCGCTGTTTAAGTGTGGAGCAGAGTATAAACAGTGTCCAGTGTGTGTGTAGCTTTCCTGGGCAGTAGCACTTATCCCAGAGAGGGAGGATGGCACAGTGGTTAGTGCACTGGCCTGGGACTGTGCAGACCTGTGTGCTCTGCCATAGCCTCCCTGTGTGATCCCTGGGCAAGTCACTTGGTTTCTCAGGGCCTCGGTTCCCTATCTGCACAATGGGGATAATGGCCCGCCCTGCCTGGCAGGGCGTGGTGAGGATCAATACATCCGAGATTGTGAAGCGCTCAGATGCTGGGAAAAACAGGGGCCCTGTATGTACCGTAGATAGACAGGAGCATGAGTTATACCAGTTTGCAGCCCACTCCCAGCCTGGTGCTGTGTTCTCAGCTCCACCTATTGTCTTTCCCCTCCAGCTCTTCCCGAGACCGAACCCACAGAACCTGGACCTCTTGGTAAGACCCGCAGCCTGTTGTTCTCCGAACCGTAGGGTGACTCTGGGAGCTGCAGATGCCTGAAGTCAGCTCTGAGTGGGAGGAAGGGCCTGCAGGAGGCAAGGCTGGAAAGTATAAAGGAGGTGGAAAAAGCTGCTCACTCAAGCTCTGAAAGAGGAGCCAGGGCACTGGTTTCCCTCCTCCGCCCCCAAGCATGCAGGCAGGACAACCTGGGGTGGAACGTGCAGGAGACACCACAGCTGGGAGGTGGGGCTGGGGACTCTCTCCAGCTGGCAGGGGCTGCCTGGTGGATTTCTAGCTTTGATGATGTTTCGCTTACAGGAAACGCTTTAAATTGAGCAGGGAGTTAATGAGGCCACCCTTGTACCTTCTAATCCTTCAAACCACCATTGATCGATTGTGAGCATATCATCTGAGGTCTGCCAGAAGCGCAAGAAACCTGTATCTCCTCCGACATGGCTGCCCCACATATCAGCCAATCTGCCTTTGATCCGGGGCTGCCTTGAGTCTGAGAGAGAACCTGCGATTAACAAGCAAGATAGTAGATGGGGACAGAGCATTCTCTCCTTGGACCAGATCCTGCAGCCCTCCCTTCTGGGAGCAGCCCTGCTGAATCCAGCAGCGCTTCTCCCGGCATTGCAGGATCGGGCCCTTCCAGCTGATGCTCTCGGTGACCCTTGGTTTTTTAACTGATGTTGGAGAGTAGCTTAAAGACCCTGCACTGCGCAGCCCCTCCTCTGTGGGGAGAAAATGTCCAAACCCCAGAGAAAGCACAAAGTCCCCCTTGATTTCCCCCCGCGTGGATAGATTTCCAAGCCGTGGAGCCCTGGAGGCTACGAATGAACCTTGTTACATTTAGCAGCATTTCTCTGGCTCTTTCACTCCAATGCACTTGTTTGACTTTCACTTTATTTGTTCCTCAATTCCTCTTCCTCTCTCTCCCCCTCACTCACAGCTTCAGGAGCAGTGGGGGGTGGTCTCCTCCGCCTTCTCCCTAAACTCTGCCTGCAACACCATCTGCCATCACTGCCCAAGAGTTAGACACGAACCAGCTGAAAGCCCCATGGAGTTTCCTTCTCTTGCCCACTGGTTACCGCTCTGCCTTTGGGTTAGGAATCGGACCTGTGCGTGTAGGAGGAACATTCAGTGGCAGAGCTAATAAGGGTGGGGAGCAACCGCCCCCCCAATAGCCGCCAGGTGTATGGGGGATGCCTTTTGGGGACCCTGCAGTCACCCAGCAGTGGCCACTCCTGTCCTGCAGGGCTGTACCCAGTTCCTCACTCGGAGCATTGCAACACGGTGCCCGGGGTCCCATGGCGCTGTGACCTCACGTGCTACATTGCAGCGCCACTCACTCCAATTTGGCCCAGCCGCCTGTCCATCATGACACCCATATGGCACTGCAATCCCACGCGCCAGCTTGTACCGCCCAGAATGGGGAGCCGGGCACAGGACAGGAGCCCACTCTGCTAGGTGGGTGCGGGGGCAGGCTCACCCTGCAGCCCACCACCAATGACCCATCACTCGGGTTGTGCCATCTGGCTCTGCCACTGGGAGCATTGCGATGTCGGGGGTGGACACATTGTTGAGAGCAGTTGAGGGGGTTAGAAGTCGGCCGTCTCCTGGTGACGTGTTGCAGGGCTGCTACACGTGCAGCTGGCTGACCGGCCGTGGTTGCAGGGTGGGGGCGGAGGGACAGCGCAGGCCAGCGCTAGTGATCCTGCCCAGCGTGCACAGAGGCCAGGGTGCTCTGCTCCGCTCCGCTCCAAGCTAAACACAGATCGGCTGCTTGCAGCACAATGGTCCCACTCTGGCACGTGTCGCAAAATCACATTTTTCCTTCTTTCTCTCCCGCCCCCAAAAAAGGGAAAATCGAGATCACCTTCCAGATTGAACCGGGCCAAACTAAAGGAGGCGGAGAACTCCTGAGCCCTGCCTAGGGAGGCCAGCTTTCCAGGAGCTGCTGGATGGCCCCACTGTGGCTCTGGCTTCTGCCAAGTGCTGGTTACCCTCCAGCCCCATGCAATTCAAGGCCCTTGCAAGATTTGGCTTTTAGCTTGTTCATTCTTTGCAGCAGGGTATTTATCTGTGAAGCCCCCCCACCCACGGTAGCAGCACGAGATCAGCACCTGCCCTTTCACCCATTGAGATACTAGCTGTAGGCATTCCTGCCCCCCTCCGGGGGGGGCACTTTGCCTCCTGGTCCCTACAGCTGTGCCAGTAGCAGGGTTTGAAAGCTAAGCAAGGCTCCGGCGTTCATGCAGTTGAGGGGCGCCCCCCTCTGGCAGCTGGGTCAATGCCCCAGCATTCTGCAGGGGGCGCTATTGTGCTTTGGAGATGTCCTCGAAAGCTGAGGTTCTGGCCACTGTGCTCTTTAAAGATCCGTGGCCCTCGCCACAAGAGGAAAGGCGTTAACTCGGCTGTCCGGCTCCAGTAACTAAAATCTCCTTTCCTGAAGTCCCTCCGCCCCGCCCCCCCCATCCAGTTTTCATTGGAGATAAAGTTCTTCACTTTCTGCCCTAAGCTGTGGGGCTATTTAACCAGTTGTGCTGTTCCACCCTAGAAGTGGCCGCATTTCACTGCTCCTGAAAGCAATTCCCGTGCACGTGGGTACAGTCGTTTGGGATCCTACGGGATGAAAAGTATAACAGAGAGAGGACATTCCTACTCCATCTCCACTCTGCTTGTGTGGCACTTCATTAACTCAGGGAAGCAGGACTAGGCTGAGGCTGAGGAACATCCGAGTCAGTGCCTGGCATGGCACTCCCATTGGGATGGTGACTGGGCCCACTGAAGATCTCCCCCAGCCCTGCGCTGCCCCAGACTGGTCCGAACTCCAGCTGGGCTCATGCTGCAGAACCAGCAGCCAGTGCAGAAGAAACAGGAGAGGCTGCCCTTCAGGGAAGAGTTAAGGGAGATGGGTGGCTTGCTGACCAAGGGATCTGAAATGAAATTGTGGGTCCCTGTTAAACACTCATCCCCACCTCTCAGCTTCCCCCCCGAGCCAGGCACCGCCCATGCACGCCAATGTCAGAGCAACAGCAGCTGCTCTTGAGTTTGCGGAAGTCAGCGGACTGTTCAATATGGTGCTAGTGCTCGGTCCCCAGTGCCTGTGTTCTCTCGTTGGGCAGATTGCCGGGAGGAGCAGTATCCCTGCACCAGGCTCTACTCCGTCCACAAGCCCTGCAAGCAGTGCCTGAACGAGATCTGCTTCTACAGGTAAGCGGCAGGCAGGGCTGCACCCGCATGGCCTGGCTGGAGGGCCAGGCCCCGAGTTTTCATAGGCCGTCCCAGGAGCATCCCCCAAGATGGCCCAGTTCTGCATTTAATAAAGGAAAACAAACAGTTCCGTCTGGGCTGCTCGGAGTTCGCGGTGTGACGAACCATGGTTGGGGCTGCCCCTTTGCCCGGAGTGAATCTGAGCTACACACGGGCAGGGGCTTGTAACGCTTGTCCTCACTAGCCAGTGAACCGGAGCTTGTAGCGTGAGTGGCCCCGTTCACTCGCCCCGTGTCCACGTGCACAACCCACTCGTGGTAACACGGGGGGGGGGGGCAGGGGAGATAGGGCAGTCCTTGAGTGAGCCTCCCTTGACAGCCACGAGCTAGTATGGACATAGGTACCAGAGAGCCCCTGGTGCTCCAGCACCTTCTCACGGGCCCCCAGAGCCTTTGCCCTGTGGCTTGTGTTAGAGGGGAAGAGTTCTCCCCCATTTTGCTGCTGACTCAGCTGCTGGCAGTGAAAATACAGGTCACTTTGCTCTCTGCCCGTGCTTGTGCCAAAGAGCCCTTCCCCCACTCTCAACGTCCAGGACTCCCTCCACCCTGGTGTCTCAGGCCGTGTGTTCTGGTCTCCCTTTCAGCCTTCGACGGGTGTACGTTATTAACAAGGAAATCTGTGTCCGTACTGTCTGCGCCCACGAAGAGCTGCTCCGAGGTAAGGAAGTGACGCACCAGGAGCCCTGAGCTGCTGCCGCAGTGTGAATTGGCCCATAAGATGGGACAGGTCCTGGTCTCTGGAGGACCCCGGGCGGGGACATTTCAGCTGGAGGCTGGCTGAATGGCAGCTCTCCAAAAAGCAGGGAGACTTGGCTCACACCCTGTGGGGACCCTAAACTTGTGCAGTGAGTGCAAATCACTCCTCAATCAGTACAGAGAGGCTGGTGAGGCAGGTGTGTAAGCTGGCAGAGGATCCAGCCACTAAGTCCTCGCTCTGCCCTCCTAGGACAGGCTGGCCCCTCTGCCCCTAAGATGCTAAACTCCAGGACACAGCTGCTCAGGAACTGATTTCTTTTATCCCCCGGGGGAGACAGGGATAAAAACAAATCTTCAGCTGTAGAAACTTTCTGGAGTTCTGGTTTTCAGTTTTGACAAAACCCTGAAATTTCGTGTTCTGTTCCCCTGAGCTCTGCTCTGTTCCTTCATGGTTCCTCGCCTCCCCTCCACAGCTGACCTGTGCCGTGACAAGTTCTCCAAATGCGGCGTGCTGGCAACCAGCGGCCTCTGCCAGACCGTGGCTACCTCCTGCGCCAGAAGCTGCGGCGGCTGCTAAGGCTGGACGGCGGATGCCCCAGCAGACGCACAGGCCACGACTCTGCTCAAGGCCAGGCCAAGCCGACCCAGAGGAAAGCTCTCTCCCCGAGCTACCTTCCGTCTGCCCCGGTAGAATAACATTGTCATTGTGCTCATGAAATCAATGGTGCTAAGGAAACATGGTGCATGAAACAGCATAGAAGTCCATTTTGTGCACATAATATAGGGATTTTTATGTTTTTTTATTACTTTTTATGATATTGGAAGAGTCACCGGCAGGGGCTGGGCTGAGCCAGTGCAGTCTGATTGGACTCAGCTGGCGCACGCCAGCCCAGCCGGGCTGCTGGCTCAATTTATACGTAGAGTATCCAAGAGAACAAGTGTAAGGGGTTGTCTGAATTTCTGGTCTGTTCCCCCCACCCCACCCTTTTGCTGCTTTCTTAGACCGTTGCCCCCGTCTCTCCTTCCTCCTCCTCCTCCTTTCCAGTGGATTTGATGGCTGCTGCTTTATTCCTTGGTTTGGACCAGGGTGCAGTTTGAAGCTCATCCTGGATGCTTGCCCAAGGGTCTATTGTTTGGGGCCCATCTGGCCCCAAAATTGTGCCGGGCTTGGTCAACTCTGTAGCTGCCACAACGCTGCTGTAGCTGGGCTCTGCCCGCTGCGTCCCACCCCCACTCTGCCTCACGCCCCGGTCTCCTTGTGAACGCGCCAGCTGGCTGAGTGGCAGCTTGGCACATGCCCCCATTCGCCTCTGCTCAAGTGTCAGGATAGCACTGATTGTTACCTGACCCGCGGCGACTGCCGTGAGGGAAACAGTGGCTCGGCTGAAGATGTCTGAGCTGGGCTGCAGCAGGTACATTGTACTGCCCGAGAGGCAGCCCGGGGCGTATTTTGACAGCTGGCAGTTTCATCGTTGGGTGCTGCTGCAGAGATGGGAGAAGCCCATTCTCTCCGTGCAGGGACTTTGGATCCCATGGGGGAGATGACGGGCTAGAGAGGTCAGCTGCCAGAGCAAATTACTTACGCCCATTGCAGCCAACCGCAACTGTAGGAGCTCGGCCCTTCAGAAACTCAGAGCTCGGATGATGCTGGTGCCTGCTCCCACCTGGTCCTTACTTGAAGAGAAAATGACTCTTTTGAGGTAGACACCGCACAGACGGGTGGATGGAGGCCACTCATACCATCTCCCTCTGTGCTTTACCAAAGTCAGCCCTTTTCAGGTGTGGACTTTAACTCTTTCCCCATGCTCTTGCTCCTTCATCTCATCTGCTTCCTCGGACGGGTGCCAGCCCCCTCATACCACTCCCGGCTGTGTCCACCTGCAGGGGAGCCTTGTGGTCCACTGTTCACTTAAAAATCATTGGCCGTCTCTGCCTCAATGAGCCAGGAATCTCTCTTTCTTGCAGCTCCAGACCTGATCCAACCGGGGGACCCCTCCCCTCCTTCCCTTCCAGCTAGGTATTTAGGGTTACCGCGCTCAGCATTTCTGTGCGTAAATGATTTAGGAACCTAAATCCCATTGGCAGTCAGAGATTTAGGCTCCTAAATAGCAATGCTGAGTACAGCAACTGCAAAATAGCTTTTGTAAAAAAGGAGCTGGGCCATTGATGCAGATGTGGCCCTGACTGCGGGCGGTGAACTGGCCCAGGCTCACTTGCTCCCAGGGCTTAGAGGGGCCCCGCAGCGTTGCATTCTCCTGTACTGTTCTGGTTTTCTTGCTTTCGCTGTAGCGTTGTACGGATAATTCCTTTTTTTTTTTTTTGTACAAAATGAATGTTTTAAAAAAATAAACAACCCGAAAAGGTCACGGCTGGCGGCACTGAGCTTGCTCACAGCTTCAGCTGGGGGAGGAACAGCTAGGGCTGGTCAGTGACTTGCCACACGCTCTACTATGAAAATAGTTTGCATTACGCCACTGCGGCTTCAGCAAAATCCCAACAACAAAGGGCATCCTGCAAACATTGTAACAGAGCCAAATGCCAGAGTCCTGGTTAGGCTGAAGGGAGTAGCCTAGTGCTTTCTGCTGCAGCTCCCCCTTTCCTCTTCCAGCCCCTCATTTTCACTCCAGTAGAACCTCCAAGATATGAACACCAGAGTTACAGACTGGCCAGTCAACCAGACACCACGTGAAACTGGAAGTAACCAATCAGGCAGCAGCAGAGACCAAAAAAAGAAAAGCCAATACTGTACTATGGCTGTATTGCATCTCAAAGGGCGGCAGGTCTGGGCAGCCTGTCTCCACCCCTTCACCCTCACACAGGGGGCAGCCCCGGGAGGGGCTCAGCTGCTGTGGAAACCTGGCCTGGCGCGTGTCAGCTGCTGGATGTGGAGCCTGGACTCTGCTTTGTTCAGCGTTATGAACATTCCAGCGTTACGGACAACCCCCAGTCCCAAGGTGGCCATAGCTCTGAGGTTCTCCTGTACACTTCAATCCCTTGGCGGCCAAGCAGGAGCTGATTAAGCAGCAGTAACTTGTCCCTGGGCTCAGACCACATTCCCTCCTTGCCAGCCTAGAGAACCTCAATCCGTACCAAGACAGCGCTGGATGAAGCATTAGCTTCCACAAGTTCACCTCTAGCTTTCCCCAGCAGGAGCAGGATGATTTAGGTCTACATGGGAGCATGCTAAAAATGAAAGTGGAGCAGCGGGCTGGACTATGTATCGATGGTCCCGACTCAATTGTACTCAGGGCAGCTATCCCATCCCGCCACTGTGGGCACACTGCTATTTTTAGCGTGCTAGCTTGATCGGAGCTAGTGCAGGTATGGCTCCAGGAGTCAGATAGTCCAGCTCCACCTGGTGACAACCTGAAAGTGACCATCCTTGTCAGTTTCACCGCTAGCCTGAGGGGATCTGTATGACAGCAGTAAAACTATATACTCATGTTAACTCAAACACGAATTAACTCAGGAGGTCCTTCCTGGCTTTATAATCTATAAACATGAATCAAATAGCAATCTGCTACGGGGTAAGGCCCAGGATTGGCTCTTGCGTTACCCTCCAGCCCTATAATTCTAGTCCAATGGCAGCAACCTACTGCAGGAGAGAATGAAATCACACACACTCACTTGGCACACATTTTTCTTCCTGTTTAATGTGACTTTGGACCGGGTGCCGCTCCCTGACAGCAAAAGCGGGGAGACAGGCTGAGCACTGTCCTGTCTGTGGTGTGTTGTGGTTTTTTTTTTAAATCCCCCTGTAAAACATTTATACAAACTTTGGACAAACTCTGACGCAGAGACACAGAGTTCCCTGGTTGGTCTTTCCATTGCCTAAGCTTCCAGGGAACTGACCACTAGGGACTTCAAATGCCAGGTGAGCTAGTTGACAGTCTGACATTCCCCGCAGCACCAACCCCGTGTGGGGCAAGCTCTCCTTTTTCCTCCCCCAATGTCCAAATTCATCAAGAAAGTACCAATATAATCTATAAAAAAAAAACCCTCTTCCTGGCATGATTAATTGTTACGTAAGTGAAAAACAACAACAAAAAGTAGGAATTTCTAGTAGAAAACTTGGTCACTTTAAAAAGAAAACCATCCACCCATCTGTAAGAAAACTTTTGTGCTAGAGAACCAGGATTTCAGTAACACCCTCCTAGCACGCTGCTGCCGTGGGTGCTCAGCCTGAGCCTTGTCAATTTAGTGTCACAGACTGGCCGGGAGAGAAATTTTTCCAGGCGTGAAAGGACTAAAAAAACTACAGCCTGAAAGCGTGCTGTTTTTTAGTGTTTTTTTTGTTTTTTTGTAATTAAGTCTTGGCTCCTGCAGGGCTAATACCGTCTGAAAGGGACACGTGCATTCTGGCTTCCTTGGGCAGCCTCAGAGCTGTTTGCTGGATTCCAATCAGTTACACCTGTGTCACTGAGCACGGACAGACCGAGGGCGGTTCCTGCAGAAGCGTTAGTGCTGATGCAGGCGAGGGAAAGGGCCTAGGTTGACTCGGAGCCTAGAGCAAAAGTTAGGTCATCTGACTTGTGAATGGAGCTGAGAAGGTGCTTGCCTGGGCCCCAGATAAGCTAGAGCTTGGCCAGGCGTTCTAAGTAAACAGCTTATGCTATGGCTGAGTGAGCCAGGCTCACTTCTGCCCTGGGCTGCCTCTATGGACTTAATTTGACTTCCTCCTTTCCAGCTGCACGGGCCGGGGGGGGGCAGAACTCTGTGCTAGTGGGGGTTACGTTACACTAGTGCTGGGGGCTAAGGTCAGAGCCCTCTGGGTGCTGTTCTAGTCACCTTACCAAGAAAGCCGGGACAGTGGTTATTAGAGAAAAGTTCCCTGCAAATGCCACCTCCACTAGGTACAGTTCCTTCTCCTGCTCTAATTTAACAGCTGCCCTTCTTCAGCCGATTCTTTCATTTGACACACAACCAGAGCAGCCAATATGGCAGGAGAAAAGTCTGAAGAGATGCTCCTGTAATTAGCCTAGACAGCTCTGCTCATCAAACTGAGTGACGGGGCCACCGCTGGCTCAAAGGCGTGGCGTTTAACAATCACACTTTCCGATCTTAACCCACCCCCCCATAAAACAAGGGACACAGTGAAACTGACTAAACACACAGTGCTGTCAACTTCACAAACTAAACTTCGAGAAAAATAAATGCTCATGATCTTGGTGTTACCTGGAATAAGTTAAAACTTTTCAGACATCAGTACCCAAGCTGGCAGGGTCTCTTTAAATAGACACTGAGGACAAGGCTACTCACTCTAAGGGACACTAATGATCAACTTGTTACTATTGTGGAAAAAGAACTTCTTCAGGGTCAATTTGTCTCCTAACCCAGTTATCTCAGCTCTTCTGGGTTTCAGGGTCATTCAACTTTCCACGCCTTGATCACTAGCACTGCAGTAAACTAGGATTTGGCTGGCACAAATAATCACTATAGCTCTGATGGTGGAGTTTATTCACCTACTGGTTTCAGGAAGCAGCTACAAGCTCAGGGTGTACTTAGAGCACATATTGCTTACTACACTAAGCCGTCCCAGTGCAGGCGCTGGATGTGAGAAGGGTGCTGGGAGAAGCGGGGCCCTGAGATGGTAATGGACACACAGTCACGCTATGGGTACATTCTCAGACAACATGCTCAAGCAGAGCATGATGCTCCTGGAAAGGAGAAAACATCTGGAAAGGAGGAGCAAACATTCAACAGCTGTTTAGACTTGGGTTCTGTGAAACTGACTCTTCTCTGCTCTAAGAGAAAAAAAACTGGGAAGGCCAGCATAGAGCAGAGCACCCAACTCAAACACTCACATCCTTGATACAACAAAATCTTCCACCTTCCATTTTATAGAAAGGGTTATGGGGCTTCTGGGCAACACCACATTGGATGAACCAGAGCTGCAGAAGCAGGTTAGGACAAAGTATTGAAAAGTTTCCAAACCTCTGGTAAAAACTGCAGTAGAAAATGACATGTATCAAATATACATTCTCCTCCATGAGCGTATTACCCTTAGGAAAGTCCTGTTTTTTTAAAAAATGGAATGGCAGAAATGTCCTTGCTGAGAAGGTAAATGCTGGTTTTGCAAGACCTAGTTCAGCTTGGTTGTAGATTTTTTTTTTTTTTTTTGGTCCCCACCCACCCCCAAAATATATTTTTGCTTAAAGGGGCCTTTTAGGTTAATGAAATAGCGGGACAACACAGATCAGCAAACCCATTTCACTGGTGACTGAGCCCATGTTTGGTCTCCAGTCACCCAGGGGCATTCAATCGTCGGCCTGCAAATGCACTCTCCTCTTCAGAGGTGCATTTTAAATGTTAGCCCCCAACATGACCCTCTGGACAAAGAAGCCACTGTTTCTGTTAAACTTAATAATATTGCTTACGAATAAACCCATTGCAGAGCACCTTCTAGCAGAGGATCTCAAAGCACATCACGGGTAATTAGTTAAGCCTCAGAATTCCTCTATGAGGTCAGTATTATTAGCCTTGCATGAGATGGGGAAACTGAGGCACAGAGTGAGGCAATCATACGATGTGTCAGCGTCAGGAAGAGAACCCAGGAGTCCTCACACCCCTGCTCTGAATACTAGCCAACGTTACCTTCTATCCCCGCTTCAGAAGGAAGGGGGCTGCTATTCAGTGTAACAATTCACCCGCCATTGGAAAGATGCTACAAAAGGATTGAAGGTGGCTTCTAAGCAAGGCCACCGGGGCCCTGATTTCCCGGCGCGGAGCATCCCTAGCTCCAATGGACTGTACTTTTGAGCTGGGGGTGCTCAGCGCTGCTGAAAATCAGACCCAGGCTGACGGTTGTCACTGATTACCAAGCTACTTTTCATTCATAGTGTATCAGTAACGATACGTTCATGGAGAAGGCAACTTAGCAGCTCTGAGACGCTCCCCGATTCCACGTCAACCCACTGGGGCCCTGACTCGCTGCACGCTCAGGGGAACGTGTGTGCGTCCTTGTCTTTTGTATAGGGCTGAGCACCCAAGGAATCCACAGGGCCGTATGGGGAGGGTGGTCCCCATGGCAGGGGCATCCCCCCTCTATACAAACCCAATTTCCCCACCGCAGGGCTGGAGCATAAAGCCGGAGGGGGCTTAGCGCTGAAGGCTCCTTGGTCACAGTGTCGCTAGTGAGTGGCAGGGAGCCTAGTTCCCTGAGAGGAGGGAGGAGTGAGAGTAATGGGACTGGCACCGCTGCAGCTCCTGCTGCAGCTGATCCTTCAGCGTCGAGATCTGCGAAGGAGAGGGTTAAAAAAAAGGGGGGGGGATCCAGTCAGCGCTTTGGCTGCATGGGGGTCCCCCAAAGCCATGGCAGAGCCAGACGGTGCAGCAGGATTTCAGGGCTATTTCCCCGAATAGGCAAAGGAATCCGGAAGGATGGGAGCTGGAAGGGAGCGGTGGGAGGGCAGTGGCTGGGGGGGAACTTACTGCTCCAGTCTCAGCCTCTCCCAGCAGCGGGCACTGTAGGGACCCTGGCTGCTGGGGAGCTCCCGGCTAGTCAATTTCCAGCCGCTCACCTGCTCCTCCAGCCCCTTGACACGCTGCCTGTGTGCTCGCTCCCTGGCCTCCAGCGTGCGCTCTGCCTGCAGCTGGGAGCCGCGCAGCCGCTCGATCTCCAGCTGCAGCTCCTGCCGATGGCGCATGGCCGTCTCCACCAGGCTCTGGGACTGGGTCTGCTCCATCTCCGCTACCTGAGCCTGAACAAGGGAGAGGAGGGTCCATACATCCAGGCTTCCACAGACAAGGGGCCACTCTGATCTAGTGACCACACAGGCCCTCCTCTGAGGGTTGATTTATTCCAGCTTGGGATTTCTCCCCCCTCCCCCTCCCGCATGCAAAAAAAGTCCCCTGCACCCCTTCTGTCTGTGAGTTACTGCTGAGGGCCACCGGCCTGCAATCCAGGCTCTGAGCCAGTCGGCTCTCTCGGGGCTGGGAGAGCCTTGGCTCCACGGCTTAAGCTGGTTAAGTATCCCTTCGGGGGGGGGACGGGGGGGACACGGCTCTTCTCTCTCTTGCAGAGACACACCCGCTCCCTTCTGGCTTCTGCTCTAGTCCAGGCCCAAACAACCCCCCTTGTGATCACATCACTCTGCCCTCATTAGCCACCACTGGCCTCGTTTCCCGCCCCCCCTCCCCGCTCCCTACTGACACAGCCCGCGCCGTCTCACAGCCAGCGCGGCAACAGCCCCCCCACGTGCGTCCTCCCTTGCTTGGAGACGCCAGGGACTTTAAAAGGAAACAGAGGCGCCATCCTACCATGCCGCTGTGTCTGACACAGGAAGGAGCCAGCCTCAGACCTCGGTTCATGTGGAAGGGCCACCATCCACCTTGGCGAGGAGTCACCTCCTCCCACACTCCCTCATAGGCTAGCGCCCTGTTTACAGCTCCAAGTGCCCTGCCACTGCAGCAGCATCTGATCGGTTACCCGCGCTGGGTTTGTCTCTGTCTGCAGCCTGGGTTCTTCCAAGTATTGGCTGAAGTCCGCTGCACAGTCCCTCGGCTTCTCTGCTGCCTTGGACGTGACCATTCGTCACCACACTAGGTCTGGTGGACCTCAGCACTGCACTGGCTTCAAATTTAACCCCACCTTCAAAGCTGGTTGCATGGCTGCTGTGCGATAAGGCGGCTATTTTAAGGGCCCTAGGCCCCGCCCAGGGTTCAACCATGATTACCCATGGCCACGCACAAGCATCGTTCCCCTTCCAGCCTGCTGAAGGTTTTAATGCAAGCTGGGGGACATATTTTGACCAAACAAATTTTCCTGGCAGAGAACAAAATTCTCCAGGGGACAATGGCAGCCTTGATTCAATGCTCCAAGCAGGACAATAAAACTAATGGTTTCAAAACTGACCCAGCGTCACTTCGTTTCGGGTTTTGGAAACCAAGACGGTGCCATTTTCTGTTGGGATTTTGAGGCCCTCTTGCCTCCTTCCCTCCTTTTTTTGAAAAGATCTCCCCCGCCCCCACAAGTGGAAAAAAGTTAGAAAACTGAGTTTGTGGGAAGGGAAAACCCTTAACTGGCTCCCAACTGGAAGACATTTGCTGACCAGTTTTGGTTGCAACACAGCTGAGTGGCGATGGAGTAAGTGCTGTAGTGTAGACGAGGCCCCAGGACTTTATGCGCTCACACAGGCCAGCGACCGCAGGGGGCTCCCGCAGGCTCCGGTTCATAACCACCTGCTCCTGCACACCCGAGAACGTGGGACAAAACTCCCTTAGGGCTCAGCCGGACCAGAGTGGGAGCCCCAGAGCAGGCTCAGGAGCCAAAGTCCCCAGCGTGTCACGCGGCACCCTGGCTGCTGGTTTCTCAGAAACACCCACGGCAGCTTCTCGCCTCAGTCACTGCCTGTGTAACACACTCAGAATGCGTGTTACAGGTCCCTGGATGTCCTCACACCACAGAGGCTACGAAACCGTTAGAGCCCCCAGCTCAGGAGTCTGGGGGCTTTCGTACAAGCCGTAGCAGCTCATGAAGGGCCCCAGTTCAATCCCCAGTGAGTTGTTTGCACTCAACTGCAGCGTATTCAAACCGTGGCAGCTTCTACCCTATTCTCAGCTCTGCCACTGAAATGCTGTGTAACCTTGGGCGAGATACTTCTCTGCTCTGTGCCTCAGTTTCCCCTCCCACCCCCTGCCCATACAGATGGTAACCTGGCAAGGTGGTCTCCTACTCCAGGCCTGTATGGGGCCTCCCATGATAGGATCCTGATGGCAGTTATGCTGGCTGTAATATGAGTAACAATAATGCGCAGCAAGCCCTGGTCTGCTTTAGACTGGCTCTCTGTTAAGAGGGGAGCGTCGTACGGGAGGGGCTGGGTGAGAGGCTCCCGCACACAGGACTAGCTATAAGCACTGAGCCAGTGGCATAACTCACCCAGGAACATGTTATCGTCCTTCTAACCATGCTTAGGTTCTCCTGCAGGGACCAGCAGCCCAACCAAAAGAGAGAAGTCAGTAAGCACACCTGTGAGAGCCAGGGTTCAAAGGTTATCTGAGCTAGGGGAGGGGGTCAGGTGAGCGAGGCTCCCCGCTCCCAGGAGAGCCAAGGATTCCAGGTGACAAGGGGGTGAGGGAGTTGCACATGAGTCTGATCAATGAGCGTCTTTCAGTCGACCACAATGAGCTTTGGATCAGCCCCTGGGCAGGGATACAGCTGCAGGGCCCCTGCCTGCCTCAGTCCTGGGGGCTTTGCCGCTTCCTGTATCTGCTCAGTGCAGCCGTGCCCCGCGCCTCTGGTGGCAGCAGGGCATTCTGGGAGTCTGGACACATGCAGCACCCCAGGCTGGTCCTGGGAGGAGGGTGCAGGTGTGTAACGAGGTGATGGGTCTCAGCCCGTGTAGGGAGAGGCTGTGCCCCGGCTCGGGCAGCTGGAAGGGAGGGCGGCCTTGGGACGTGCCTCGCTAGAGCTTAAGGAATGGGGGGGAGGGTAGCTGGGAGGCGCTAGGGAGGAGTTTGGCAGCAGGGGCAGGTCACTGGCTATTAATCAGCACAGCTATGGGTGCTGCTCACCCAATGCTCTTCCCCCTCCTCTGCTCCCCGCTATCCGTCTCCCTAGAGGAAGTATTAACCCTTCAATGCCAGGGCAAAGTCGAGGCTGGGTCCCCCCTAAACTTCTGACGAGTCGCACTTCCACAGCACCTTGCCTCCAGAGCTCAGCGTCGCACGCCCCAGGGCGCCGTCCCCATCCCTGCGGAGGCACAGAGCGGGGAAGCGCCAGGCCCCAGCTCACATGGCGTCCCAGTGGCCAAGCGGAGAGAGCGAGCCCGGATCTCCTGACCTACACTCCGGCCTGGGCTTTAACTCCCAAACCACCTTCCCCCTCGTGTTATACCCACTGGCAGAGATGATGTCATGTCCACCCCGCTCGGCTCTGGGGCTCGTCCACCGGGCCGCAGCAGCTAGGAAACAGCCTGCAATGGGAGCTCGGGGTTTCCGCCGTTAGTCTGTTTGCAGGGAGAGGGCCAAGAAAACAGGCAGCACTAGCCCTTCCTAGCACACCTGCCTTGTAGATTAAACTGTATTTGACCCTTCTCAGACCCACGTCTTCACCATCTGTGTCCCTTCCCCCCACTTCCACCCTGTCCTTTCATCCCTCACCTGTCCCCACCCACCATTCTGGCCCCTCCTTCCCCGCACCCCCAGTGGTTTTTTGTGCAGAACCATGAAAATATGTCCTGCCTGAGGCCACAAAGACCCTGGTTAAGGTCAGGCAAGGGAGCCTATGAAGAGGCCCCATCAACAGCGCCCTGACCCTGCAGCATAGTCTGGGTAGGGTGCGGCACACCCTGAATCTTGGCTACGTCCTAACAGCCATGGCAGCGCGTGATTGAAGCTGCGAGCAGAACCGCGGGGTGTTTCCACCCCCAGGGGTCAGCAGGAACCAGGACTGTGTCTAGGGCTTTGGAAAGATGCCCCCCCCCCCACCTTTGTCTGCTCAAGACAAAGCACTCAGTGAGGAAGGTTTGATGGCTGACCTCGAGCAGCTGGATCTGCCGCTGAGCCTCCGCCAACTCCTGCTCCACCGTGTTGAGGGAGCGGTCCAGCCGGCCCTTCTCTGCCGACAGCCTCACCGAATCCTCGTGCGTCTTCAGCTTCTCGCGCTCCACCTGCCGGCCAAGCAAGCCCAGGGAGAGAGGGTGGGTCAGGCCACACTGGTTATGGCTACACTCCACACTACGCCCTGGCCCGTGGCAGCCGGGCTAGTGGACTTGGAGATTCCAAGCCTGCACTTGAGCGTCCACACTGCATTGTAAACCTTCACTTCTGGGGAGCAATAAGGCCCCCACTCTTCACTAGAGCCCTTACACCACAGCTCTCGGGGGCGGGGGAAACGACTCCTCCAACAGGATTGGGTCCCCAAGCTCTGCTCTCCGGAGGATTGCAGGCAGCAGCTGAGGATCATGGGAGTCTGGCTATGTTTCTCTCTGCCCTGAGTGCTGGCTCAGAGCACATTGCCAGGCACAGCTTTATGGGGAAGTAATTGAACGTGGATCACTGTTGGGTGGGTTTTCCCCATGGCAGACGGGTGGGGGGTCGCTCAGGAAGGGGCTGTCTGCTACGGCCAGTCTAATTCCACGGGTTGCCAGTTGAAATCGCAGGCACAGGAGCACAAATGCAATGACCGAAGCGCCACTGAACGGACAGAGGAGATTTCAGGCCGTTCCCGAGTGTAATGCCCTGCGATGCCAGGGATAATATCCCTCACGCCCCAGCAGTCACAGCTGATTGGAAGCCAAGCTGAGCATTCACCCCCATTCGCTCTCAGTACAAATGCCAGCTCGGGATTCGAACCTAGTGCCAGACCCAGGATCCTGTGGAATTTTGCAACCCCTGCTTGTCACCCCCATACTCTGTCCAAGATCAGGCAGCCCCCTGCCAGCAGGGAAGATGGCATGGAACTAGCGAATTCCCAAAACAATCTCCCCATGGCTAATCCTGGTGCCATTTCGTGGAGGGACATTGGATAAGAAGCCTACAAACAGGCTTGTACCATTCCGACTGTGTGTGCCGGGGGGAGAGCACCGGGAGCCATGCATACGAGCAGAAGGAAAGAGGCACAAGCCCCAACCCCTGCTCCTGCCGCTCACCTTGTCCAGGGTCTTCTTCAGGGCCATCTTGTCCTTCTCCAGCCGCAGGGAGGAGCGCTCCGCCTCCCGCTTCTCACTCTCCAGCTGGGCCAGCGCCCGCTGCAGGCTGCCCAGCCGCTCCTGCAGCAGGTGCTTGTCCTCCTGCAGCTTCTGCAGGCTCCGCAGGGCCGCGCTCTCGCTCTCCTGGCACTGGTGCACCAGCTGGGCAGCAGGGGAAGAGAGACGTGGCTGAGCGCAACATCGCAGGGCAGGGAGCCACTCCAGTGATAGGCACGTGGGATCGGCCCGGTAGCCTAGTGGTTAGAGATCAGCTCTTCCATGCGGGAGACCCGAGGTCAGTGCCTGTGCCCAGCACGCGGCTGTCGGCACAGAGCAGCGTGAGAGACAGCGGGGGTTTAACAACCGAGGGGCTCAGCCCCCTGGGAATGCTGGATTGCGGGGCAGGAAGGGCCCAAACACCGAGGAAAGGCAGCTTCAACTCCCAATGCCCTGGCTTGGACAGGCAGAGGTCACAGATCCACAGGGAGCCCTGTGTACAAATGCTCTCTGGGGGGAGCTACAAGTGACCCCACAGGGGATGCTCCAAGGAAAACCTCCCTCCAGCCCCCCATAACTATGTAGCACTGGGGTCACCATCCCAGCACAGGACATGAGTGGCACAGGGTACTCTGGGGAAACCGCTCTCCCTGCCCCACATACGCGTCCCGTTCTCTGTGCCGGTGGCACTCAAGTGATGCTCTCACTGGGATCACCATGGAAAGCCAGACATGACCCAGTGACCCACTGCAGCACTCCTACGTCTCTACGGAGTCAGCTCCCCTACTGCCTTCCTGCCCCGATACCAGCCCAGCTGATCAGCAGCAGGACGGTTCTCTGGCCAGCTCAGACTACATTCATGGGACAGTCACCCCCAATCCCGACCTGGTGCCGTGTCCTCACCTCCTGCTGCTGCCGGACCTGCCCTTCGAGCTCCTCCTTCTGCACCTCCAGCTCCAGCTGCTCAGTTTTCAGCACCTGGACCCGGTCGGCCAGCCCGCTGTTCTGCTTCTTGGCTTCTGAGACCGCCTGACGGGCAGCGTCCAGCCGCTCCTGTGACAGGAGGGGAGACGGTGACACCCCAACGGCACAGAGGGGCCAGGCTGTGCAAAACAGATCCCGGCAGAGCTCCCCGCTTCACGAGCTTGGACCGATTAACCCAGCGCTAGCAGGACGGAGCCACCCGCTCGCAGCAAAGACAATGGGGAGGGAAACCGGTCCCCATGTTGTATGGAGGGGTGGCTGGCACGGGGAGGATGGTGTGGGACTGAAGGAGGTGTCTACCGTCAGGCTCAGCGCCAGCAGTTTCCCCTACAGCTCCTGATGCCCCTGCAGCCCCTCCTGGCTCGGCCAGTCCCGGCCCATCCAAGTTAGATCTACCAATGCGCCCAACCCCGACCTGCTGGAAGCCTTGGGGAACTCCAGTCCTGGCCCGATTCCCCGCCCACCTTTGCCAGTGTCCCTCAATCCTGTTGGAAATCTCTGTCCGGACCCCCCCCCCACTCTGCCTCTCTGCACCTTGCAGCCCCGGCCAAATCCCACCTGTAGCACTCGGCGGTCATGCTCGCTGGCGGTCAGCGCCTTCTGCAGCTGGAGCGCTTTCTCCTGGCTGGCACCGGCATTGGCACTGCTCTCTGACAGAGACAGGGCCAGGCCCTGCACCTTGTCCTTCAGGGCGCTCTCGCCCTCCTCGGCCCTGGCCAGGGTCAGGTGCAGTCGCTCCACAGACAGCTGCAGGGCGTTGGCCTTCATCTCGCTGTCGGTGACCTGCAGCGGGATCGGCACAGTCCGGCAATGAGCCAGGGCCCCCGGCTGCATCTCCCGAGTCGCTATCCGATGTTCACGAAGGCTCTGCGGTCAGAGCCCTGCCCTTAGTGGCAGGGGCCGCACTGGGATGGCTGGAGCGCTGCCAGCCCTGCTGGCGTTACCCAAACCGGCTGCCGTTAGGGATCCTTCCAAGAGGAGCAGCGGGCGGAGCCGGCGAGTCCAGTGTGCTAGGCCACGCCCCCTAGCCAGTAGGCCACACCCACTCGGGACAGCAATGTAATGGACTCCTGGGGAGATCAAATCCACACCCCAGCTCATGGGTAGGGAGCTGCTGCCTAGGGGCTGGACCATGGTGCTCACGCACCCACCGCACCAGGATGATGACCCCAAGGCAACATAATCAAGTTGCAGTGGGGGAGGTTTAGATTGGATATTAGGAAAAACTTTTTCACTAGGAGGGTGGTGAAACACTGGAATGCGTTACCTAGGGAGGTGGTGGAATCTCCTTCCTTAGAGGTTTTTAAGGTCAGGCTTGACAAAGCCCTGGCTGGGATGATTTAACTGGGAATTGGTCCTGCTGCGAGCAGGGGGTGGGACTAGATGACCTTCTGGGGTCCCTTCCAACCCTGATATTCTATGATTCTAATCACAGACCCACTAGCCACGTCACTCCCTGCCCCCTACGCTGGGGCAGAGTCGGCCCAGAGCGCCGCTCTATGACACGCAGGGGCAGCCCGTCAGCAGCGTGGGCCTTTGTGCCTCCTCACGGCTCCTTCCCCTCAAACGCAGAGAGAGCCTGCAGGAGGAGAGGGCGCAGCCGGTGCCAAGAGGCTGCCACGGCCTCGGTCTGCCACGGGGCACAGGCCCGGCCCAGAAGCCACGGCGGCGCTACCTGTCTCTGCAGCGTGTCACCGCGGTCCTGCAGCACCTGGATCTCCACCTCGCGGTCACTCAGCACCAGCTTCACCCTCTGCAGCTCCCCCTCCAGCGAGCGCCGCAGCAGCTCCAGCTTGGTGCAGCGGCTCTCCGAGGCGTCCAGGACCTCCTTCAGGCGCCGCTTGTCGTTCTCCAGCTTGGCCTCGTTGGCTTTCATCTTGCTGATCTTCTCCTGGGGGACAGCGGGGAGAAGAGTCACCAGCCGCCTCCCCTCTCCCCAGGCTAAGGGCTCATCTGGCTCTGGGGCCTTACAGTGTAAGCTCAGGGCTCACGGAAGATGAATGGCATGGCCAGTCCTGAGCAGTCTCTGCCTCAACTTCCACACCCAGCCCTGCTGACGTCCGGCTGTAAAGATCTGCAGCCCCCTTGCTAGTCCAGCCCTAGGGTCCCTATACAGCAATAATGACGTGCCTGCATTCTCGCCTGCACCACCCCAGTGAGTCCAGTCCCAGCTCGGCTGATGTCGCTCGGTGCCACCCTGCAGCATCCCCTGCTATACCAGCTTGGGCTCCCCCCCAGCTCACCTGATGCCCCTCAGTGCCACCCTGCAGCATCCCCTGCTATACCAGCCTGGGCTCCTGCCCCAGCCCAGCTGATGCCCCTCAATCCCACCCTGCAGCCCCCTGCTGCTATTCCAATCTTACATCCCCCTACAACTCTGCTGAGGAGCCTCAATGCTCAACCCATGGTGTCCCGCCTCCCCCTTCCGGCACTTGGGCCCAGCCCCCAGGTTTGCTGGTGCCCCTCAAGCCTGACCCGCAGCCTCCTCCGTTATCCCAGCCCTACACCCCTTCTCCCCCTGCGACTCTGCCCATGCACATCAGCCCTGAGCATTGCATAGCAAGAGCAGGTCCGCTGCAGCGTGACAGGGGGGCCAATGTGAAACTGAACCGTGCGGCCGCTCACAAGGGTGCGCGAAGCAGCCTGGGGGGCGAGTGGGAGAGCAGCACCCAGCCCTAAGTCTCCATCTGCAGAGACTACACGGCCCCATTGCGAGCCCAGCTGGGCCCCATTCCACCTCCAGGCCCTTCCCCCCTTCGCTCCCATTCCAGGCATGCAGGAGGCTGGTTACAATAAGGCAGGAATTCAATACAGCTCCAGCGCCACACAGGAAGCCATGGCTTGGCTCAGCTGCTGCTCAACGCTCGGCCAGAGAGACTGTGGGCTCCCACGTCCAGCCGTCACCCCGCATCCCGACGGATGGTGGGGAGCAGGGGCTGACACACAGCAGTGGGGCTGGCTTCCCCTGCTATCGTGGAGGGGATAGGAGACAGCATGTGCTACAAGCCAGGGCTGAGGGGGGGCTGGCAGCCACAGCCCTGGCAGGTCAGCTCTCGGCATTGCAGGTGCCAGCAGGAATCTGCGAAGAGTGGCCAGGGCTGAGCCCTGGCCTTTGTGAGCCAAAAGCCTGAAAGATGCAGCACCCCTAGAGCCGAAGGGCTATCAAGAGATGGGGGGGCCCTATGAACTAAGCTCTTTGGGGCAGGGATGCTATCATGTTGTTCTGTGTTTGTACAGCACCTTGCACAAGGGGGTCCTGGTCCAGGACTGGGGCTCCTAGGTTCCACCACAATACAAATATTAAACAGTAATAGGCAGCCCCAACCCTGGGAGAACCCTGTGCTCTGCTGCCCAGCCTACTCGCCAAGTGACAGTCCCAGTTGCACCCAGAGACCATGATGGGGGACAGACTCCTCTCTGTCCCCAGGAGCGCAGTGCATCAGTGACCAGCGTGCCTGTTGGCCACCAATCTGCCGGCCTCCTCCCCAGAGTCAGCTCAGAGATCCCCGGAGCTGGAAGATCTTTGCGAGAACGGGGGAGGTGAATTATCCCTGGGATCCGGGACAAAGGCTGGTCGGGCAGGGGTTAATTCCATGCTCTAGCGCAGGGTGCAGGAGGGGGTAGTAGACAACAAGGATCCAGCACGCACTGCGACAAGGCCGGCCAGAGCAAGCCGCATTGCATGCTGGGCACTGTAGTCTCCCCAGGCCACACATCCAGCCAAGAGCCAGTGTGGCGGCAATTGGCTCTGTTATAAGGTGTAGCCCTAAGCGTCCGTCTGTGCTGAGCAGGGCCCTGCCAGCCCTACCCTGGACAGCCAGGCTCTCAGGGGTGCCCATCTGCCTGGCCTTCGCCTCGAGGGGTGCCCACAGCCCCCTCCCCTTTGAGTCCACAGCCCCAGGAAGTTCTCCTAAGAGACAAAGATGCAGCAAGTTTCCTCCTGCTTTGCAAGGGCAGAATGCAGGGAGAGCGGATGCGGCTACACCCTCCCCCGTCCCGGGACCTGGCCCTTCCCGGGGCTTCGAGCGCAGCTAGTGGCAGAGACCCCTGCAAGAAAGACAGTTCCTCCCCTTCCCAGACCGCTCCCAAGCTGCACGCTCAGCAGAACGCCTTCTTTGGCCTCCATCTGAGCCGACAGACCCAGGCCCTGCCAGACTGGCAGCCTCCCAGCGTTGTTCCTTAACCCAAAGGCATGGCTGGCCTCCAAGCCCGGCAGACATAACACACACAGCCCAGACACGGGGCGCCCCTGGGACCGTGAGCAAAGAGTTCCGCCAGGCAGAGAGGCCCCCTCGCTGCCAAAAGCCAGCCCCACAAGGCACAGCAAGGGTGCACGCCCGCTGCAGGTGGAGGATGGAGCAGACCCCCCTCCAGCCCCCTGGATTTAGCCCCAGTGCCAGCCTGGGGGGCAGGGAGTTACTGGAGGAGTCTCACCTCTCATGCCCTGTCTGTTGCCCAGTGCAGCTCAGCAGATCCAATACCCCGCTGGATCTCTTTCCCAACGCCTCTGGGAGGCCTGCGATGGCACAGAGCCCCATAGCCTGACAGATCAGGGGCAGGCAGCTTTGTCTAGGGGACAGGGTACCGGACTGAGTCTCAGAAAACATGGGTCCCAGCTCTGCCACAAGCCTGCTGGGGGGATCTTGGTCAAGTCACTTCCCTTCTCCCACTATGTCCGTCTGGTCTGTTCAGCCTGTAAGTGATTTGGGGACAAGGAGTGTGTGTGAATGTGTGTGTGTGCGAGTGAGTGTCCACATGTGTGAGTGTGTCCATGTCGGTGTGTGAATGTGTCCATGTCTGAGTGTACACAGGTGTGTGTCCGTGTCCATGTCCACGTGTGTCCGTGTCCATGTCCACGTGTGTGAGTGCCTATGTACATACACACACAACGCACAGTGCAATGGGGCCCTGATCTCCATGGGTGTAAGTAAATCAGAGGTCAGGCAAGCAGATCCCGGTCACATTAGCATGCAAAATTAAGCCACTTCTGAGTGGATCTGGACCTCGATCCACATTCTATCCCACAGAAACCTCGCAGAGATGGGGGCGCCCCAGCCCCATCAAGTCTAAGGCCTGGTCTACGCTCCACAGTTAGGTCGACATGAAGCAGCCTACGTCGACCTAATTATGCCAGTGTCCACACTACAGCTGTGCTCCCGCCCATGTAAGTGCCCTACTGCACCGACATCGTAACTCCACCTCCACAAGAGGCGTAGTTAGGGCGACGCAGTGTCTGTGTAGACTTACATCGACTATTGGCCCAGCTCCCGGCTCCCCAGCCAGGCTGCTGCCCAGCCTCTGCTCCAAGCCAGGCTGCCAGACTCCCAGCTTGGGCTGCTGCCCGGCCTCCCCAATCCCTACACCCTGCTGCCCCCACCCCCCCAGCTCTTGGCTCCCCGCCAGGAGCACGGCAGTGGACTAGACTCCACGCCTGGATCTCCCACTGGAGGCAAGGAGATCTGCAGTAATGATCTCAGTCCCTGCCAGGAGCTGCAGGCACCGGGCATCCCCACTGCAGTCAGCCCAGGCCGTTCACCACCAGCCAGGGAGATCGAGCTGGGAAAACCAGATCCTTGCCCACCCAGGGTGAACGATGGTGAATCTCTAAGCACCCAATCCAGAGGCGGGTGCATCAAGCTGGTATTCAGTGCCCACTGCAGCCAGAAGAGAGGCCCTAAACACTCATTTTAACCCCCTGGTGCCCCAAATGGCCTTGATCCCCCCACCCCAATTCCGACCAACGAGCGCACACAGGGCTCACTTCAACCCATCTGAAATGCCTTGTTCCCCTGGTGTCCTCATTCACCCTCTCTTTACGTATTTGCCTTCAGGTTCTGCTCCTATCCCTGGTCCATTAGAACCTCCCCGGCCAGCGACCTGCCCCCGGCCCTGTGCACCTGGGTGGTTCGCCGGTCGCTGTCTGCCGACTGCAGGCTCCGCTCCAGCGCCGTCACCTTGTCCATCAATGCCTTGCGCTCCCGGTCGTTGCGGCGGAGGGTCTCCTCCTGCAGCAGGAGGGCGGTCTGGGCGCTGCTCAGCTTGCCATCCGCGCTGCGCCTCCCTGAAGCAGAGAACGCAGGCGCAGAGCCAGTGAGGGGGCATGCGGGCACTTTGCACCAGAAGCCAGAGGCAAATAGGAGGCACAGAGCACTTGGGTTCTAATCCTGGCTTTGACACTGATGCACTGCGAGACCTCGGGGCGAGTTCTTTAAACCCTCCGTGACTCAGTTTCCCCATCTGTAAAATGAGGCTAATGCTTGCCTACCCCAGAGGGCGAGGGAGAGAAAATCCATTACCAATGAAGATGTGAAGCACTCACTCTCAGAGCTAAGTTTTACTATGCAGCTTGAATAAACACTTGTCCCTGAAGGGGACATCTTCAGCACCTGAGTGGGGGCTGCCTTTTGGAGACTCAACGTATAAACCCGGTGACAGCCAACTTCTTCACACAGCACGGGCCACGTTTCACAGCACCGGGCTGGGATCCAGGAGAAGTGAGTTCAGTTCCCAGCTGCATGACGTGGGACAAAGTGGGAATTTTTGGTAATGTTTTTATGAAGCCGACGTGTGCCTCAGTTTCTCCCTATACTCTGCATTGTTACCAAGTGAGGGGAAGGATTACGTCTGCTCTCAGGGCAGACTAAGGATACGTCTACACTTAAACCATTGCTGCTGCACCACTGTATCGCTTCCGTTTTGGGCAGGTCTGCACTGCAGAACTACTTTGGTACGTTGCTCAGGGCAGTGAAAAATCCACACCCTTGAGTGACGTAGTTACTCCGACCCGTGTGCTGGGGCAGGCAGCTGCGGGAGAGCTTCACCACCTCTCACAGAGGTGGATTAATGATGCCGACGAAAGAGCTCTCTCCCATGGGCGTAGAGCGTCTTCATTAAAGTGCGACTGGCGCAACTGCACCGATGCAGCCTTTTAAGTGTAGACACTTAGACACTATGTACATGGATGGGAGGGGTTCTCCCTTTGGCACAGGTAATCCACTGCTCTGAGAGGCAGTAGCTAGGTCGACGGAAAAATTCTTCTGTCCACCTACCACTGTCTACACCAAGGCTTAGGCTGACAACACATAGTCAACCAGTGAAACTCTTTGCCACAGGATGTTGTGAAGGCCAAGACTCTAACAGGGTTCAAAAAAGAATTAGATAAGTTCATGGAGAATAGATCCATCAATGGCTATTAGCCAGGATGGGCAGGGATAGAGCCCCTAGCCTCTGTTTGCCAAAGGCTGGGAGTGGGCGACAGGGGACAGATCACTTGATGATTCCCTGGGGCACCTGGCATGGGCCACTGGAAGACAGGACACTGGGCTAGAGGGACTGGGCTAGGCAGCAGTTCTGCGGAAAAGGACCTAGGGGTGACAGTGGACAAGAAGCTGGATATGAGTCAGCAGTGTGCCCTTGTTGCCAAGAAGGCCAATGGCATTTTGGGATGTATAAGTAGGGGCATAGCGAGCAGATCGAGGGATGTGATCGTTCCCCTCTATTCGACATTGGTGAGGCCTCATCTGGAGTACTGTGTCCAGTTTTGGGCCCCACACTACAAGAAGGATGTGGATAAATTGGAGAGAGTCCAGCGAAGGGCAACAAAAATGATTAGGGGTCTAGAACACATGACTTATGAGGAAAGGCTGAGGGAGCTGGGATTGTTTAGCCTGCAGAAGAGAAGAATGAGGGGGGATTTGATAGCTGCTTTCAACTACCTGAAAGGGGGTTCCAAAGAGGATGGCTCTAGACTGTTCTCAATGGTAGCAGATGACAGAACGAGGAGTAATGGTCTCAAGTTGCAGTGGGGGAGGTTTAGATTGGATATTAGGAAAAACTTTTTCACTAAGAGGGTGGTGAAACACTGGAATGCGTTACCTAGGGAGGTGGTAGAATCTCCTTCCTTAGAGGTTTTTAAGGTCAGGCTTGACAAAGCCCTGGCTGGGATGATTTAACTGGGAATTGGTCCTGCTTCGAGCAGGGGGTTGGACTAGATGACCTTCTGGGGTCCCTTCCAACCCTGATATTCTATGATTCTATGACCCTTGGTCTGACCCAGTATGACCGTTCTTATGTTCTTAGCTATGTCTCTTAGGGGTGTGGACTTTTCACACCCCGAGAGATGTAGCTATGCCAGTCTAAGTTCCCACTTGTAAACCAGCCCTAAGAGACAGACATAGCAGTGTGTTTCTCCTCCCTGTCTGGGTGGGATGAATACAGCCGTTAAGGAACTGCCTGAAACTGACCCAGATCAACAATGGGTCCAGAGAGACAATGCAAGCATCGATGACTCATGGATCGACACTCAGTGGGCTGGACACTCCAGCCAGCAGGGGCCTGCCTGGAGAGTAAAGGACCGAGCCGTGACCGGGAGAGAATAAAGTGTTGACCTCCGGAAGAGGCTGGGAGCTCTCGGACCAGGGAAGCGACAAAGTCAGAGAGAGACAGAGCTTGAACATGGAAGCCCACTACAGCTTGGCTGGTGAGCTGCGGCTTGACCAGAATGGACGATGCTTTAACCTTTATCCTCTGTGCTAAGCTAAGGGCTTCCTCTGCTGTGTTCCAGCCGACTAATCCACCCAGGGGATCACTGCAAATACTGGCTGGGGTGCATTCGTCCCCAAAGAATGCATGCATCTCTCCCAGGAGTCTCTCTCAGTCCCACTCGCTGAGCACAGCTCACGGCGTGAAGCAGGAAGGCTGGAGCCCCGTAGCTCAGTCTAGGAAGCGGTGCGGGGCTCTGGCACACTGAAGGGGTTCTTCCAAGAGACAAAAGCTGGGGTGTAGCACAGATCCTGCAGATTTGTGACAAGAAGACACACTGTGTCTTGCTCCTCTCATCCCTGGGGGGATAATAATACTGACCGTCTGCCCCCTGCTCTTTGCCTTGGTTATTTAGACTGGAAGCCCTTTGGGGAAGGGGCCAACGCTCACTACCTCTGCACAGCTCCTAGCGCGATGGGGCCCTGATCTCAGTCTAGGCCTCTGGTCGCTACACGTAACAATAAGAAGGATCAAGTGGTTTTGAAGCCCCACGTAAAAAAGTTTTAGCCTCTCCTTGTGGTTCTCCCTCAACCAGGGAATTAATTTTGATGCTAAAATAATGCTTGAGAATGAATCGATCTGTACAGCTGGATTTCAAAATGGCCCCCTTCCCAGTGAACCTCAGAGGAAACGTTTAAGGGGCACAGACCCGGGCAAGGGGAAAACATGACACCCACAAAAGGGGAGAGGGCAGGGAATAACCAAGCATCCCTGAAATGCTGAGTTCCCAACACCGCATGTAGGAACAGGGCTCTGGGAGCCTGGGAAGATATTGCTGTCTTCTGAGCTTTCCTAGCTGTGGCAACTTAGAGAAAGGAGGAAAATGAATTGTCCCTTGAGGGGGGAGGGGAGCAGCCCAGCAAGAGGGCAGCCAAATACAGAACGTCAGAGCCGAGACACAAAACCCCAAGTGTCTGGAAATCCCCAGTTCAGGATTAAACCTCCAGTTGCAAGTGTCGGCAGGCGGCAGCCATACCAAGCGATGCCCAGGCTCTGCTGGGGGCTAGTGGTTCAAAACGAGGGCTGGTATTTCCTAGTGTTCCTCTCATTCCAAGTGATCCCATAAACTGTATACAGGGATCCTTTCACCCACCACTGAAATGCAGCCTCCTCTGGGGGGTGGGTGGTAACAAGCTGTTTAAAAGAGCACAGAGCAGCGATACACAACAATCTAGTGCTTGATGCAGATGCCACAGGGACAAGATGCAGGTGCATGGGAGAGATGGCACACACAGGCTTGAATGGGAGGGGACTCTGAAAAATCTCACAAGCCCTGGCCTGGAGACTCACTAACTGCCTCCTACGGTCCTGCTCTCGTTCTCTGGGTCTGTCCTTGCATTTCCAACAAGAGAGATGAGCTAGGGCCTGCTGCATGTTGCAATGGACCAAGCCTGCGTGCCTACCAGCTGGGTATAACCTCTGCATGGTAGCCCAGCCCACTGGCATAAGGGCATTAAAGCACCAAGTTTACAAACAAAAGGTACCACTGCAAAAAGTAAAAATCCAGGAGCACCATGGGTAACAGCATGCAAATTACTATGAAGAGACAGTGCAAGTAGGGGCTTAGAAGAGTGGGGACCCTGACCCTGCCACTGGCTGGGGCAAGTCATTTCCCCTCTCTGTGCCTCAGTTTACCCCTCTGGAATACGGGGCTATTAAGACTAACCTAGGGTAAGGGGTCGTGAGGCAAAATGCATCCATCTGCACACCGAGTGCTTTGAAAGGCCCTAGAGATGGGCCAAGCATTGCCAAGAGCGCTCATTATTACGATGGGCACAGGCCCCTCTGCACGCCCCCACCACAGCCCTTACCTTCCTGGCTTTCGGTCACTAGCTTCTGCAGCTGCTGCACTCGGGTTCTGGCACTGTCCCGCTCCGACTCCATCTCAGCCAGCTGGCGGGTCAGGCTGCCCAGCTGGGCCCGCAGGTCATCCTGGATTCGGAGAGGAGGGCGAGACAGGAGGGGGCGATCAGCAGTCGGGAGACCCGCCAGGCTGCTCGCCCTTCGGGCAGAGCAGCGTGGGCAGATGTTGACCCCTTCCTCCCCACACCGGTACCCGCTTGCGCTGCGTCTCCCGCAGCTCCTGCAGGAAGTCCCGGAGGGCGGCCCGCACCACTTCAGGGTCGATATCCGCCACCAGCTGCTCGCTGCGGCCGGGCGAGAGGGCGCGCTCCGGAGACAGAGGGCGCGAGCTGGGGCTGCGCTCGGGGCTGCCCGCCTGTGGGGTGGGGCTGCCGCGCCCGTCCGTGGTGCTGTACGCGTTGTCACCTAGGGGGAGACGGGCACAGGGGAGAGATGGTGGGCCCCGGCTGGGCTCCGGGAATCCAGCACTAAACCTGTCAGGGTTTTCCTAGCTCCTGGCTCTGATCCCACAAGGAGAAGGGGGACACCTACTGGCAGGAAGAGGAGCTGCAGCCCGGCCAGAGAAGAGCCTCTCCAGTACAGCAGGGCCGCAAAGGGCCCTTCACCCCACCCCGAAGGGCTCAAGGCAGCGAACAGGGAGGACCTGAGGGAGAAGCCACTGGACAGGCATGAAGAGCAGTGCAGGGTCTGGAGTGAATCCCAGCCAGCCATTCAGGCCAATAGTTCTACCCCACCCTCCTCCAGGCCCTTCCACCTGGGCATCCCCAAGTGCTTTGCAAGCGTCAGTGATTGAGCCTCCCAACCCTGCCAGGACGCCAGGGTCTTACTATCCCCATTGCAAAGATGGGGTACAGGCAAGGGAAGTGACTTGACCAAGGCCCCATGGCAAGCCAGTGGCACGGCCAGGAATAGGACCCAGGAGTCCTGGCTCCATTCCACCAGATGCCACTCCCACACAGCAGGGCACTGAAGACAACCAAGCCCTCAAGGTTTGGGGAGGAGAGAAAGGGGCCTCCTCAGGGCTGCGTCCGAGGGCTCTCCTGACCCGTTACCTTTGGTAGGAGAGAAGAGTCTTTTGGGGGAGCTGCTACGCCCCCTGATGGCTGGGCTGGGGGCCCGGCCGCCCCGGCTGATGCCCAGGGTGCGCCTCAGGGCGGAATGCAGGCTCCCCAGCTTGAACTCCACGTCCCGCTTCAACCCCTCCACTCGAGCCAGCTCAGCCTCCAGGCCGAGGGCACGGCCCTCGGCGGCGCTCAGCCGGAGGCTCAGCTCCGCCGCCTCAGCCTGCGCGTTCTCCAGCTTGATCTCCAGGTTGCGGGCGTTGTCCAGCAGCTTCTTCTCATTGCCGCGGGCCTCCTCCAGGCTGCCCAGGAGGTCCTTCTCCCTCACCTGGAACTCGCCCTCCTGTTCCGACAGCTTCCGCTGCAGGTTGTGGAGCTGGGGAGGCAAGAGAGAGGGCTGAAAGGCATTCTGGGTAGGGAGAGCCAGCCCAGTGAGAGCACATGGGGTCAAGCGTGGCACAGCCGCCTCCGCGCAAAAGCCACATGTCCTCCTGGCCACATGGCTACTCCAGAAGGACGTGGTCTCCACCACTTTGGGCCACTCTCCTCCATTTTATCATGCCAAGTGGGACAGGCAAAGAAGACCAAGGAGGAAGCATGGTCGGCAAGTTCTGGAGGCAGGAATTACTCGGGAGGTTCTCTGGCCTGGGTTACACCAGGTGTCAGACTACAGCGCTGTAATGGTCCTTTCTGGCCTTAACCTCCATGAGCCTCCTTCAAGTTGCCCTGGAGGGACGCATCTGCTCCCCACACCCGGGCCACATGGGCAGTACACAGCATGACCAGTCCCTGGCAGCGGCAACGCGATGAGCCAGAGCTGGGTGGCCGACAGGCACGACCAGGAGAGAATTCCTGGGCGGAGGCAGGAGGAGCATGCGAGACCAAAGGAGCCCCATGCTCACCTCCTTCCTGGCAAACTCCCTGCTGGCTTCGCTCTCCACAATCTTCTGCTTGAGGCCGAAGGATTCCCGCCGGCTCTCCTCCTCCCGCTGCTCATCCAGTGCCACCCGGGCCTGCAGCTCTGCCACCTCCTTGTTCTTCTTGGCGTTCTCACTGTCCAGCATCTTGATCTGGGGGCACCGGAAGGGGGGCAGGGAAGTACATGACTGCCCCGCGGACGGGAGTGGCGCAGCGCAACGGAGAGGCACCAAAGCTGTTCCAGGCCAGCGAGGGGAACTGTAGCTCGCCCCAGGGCCGGAAGGGCGGGATCCTACACACTCACGGCCCCTCCTGAACTACAGATGCTTGGCCCGGTGGCCCAGACTCTGCTATGCCAACTGTGCCCACATCTTCCTGTCCTCCCGACAGAGAGTCGTCAGCGTGGGCTCAGGGGCAGCTGGGCAGAGCCTCCTCTTCCCCGACGCCTCGCGAGCCCCTCACTCAAAGCCCTGCTTCGCCTTCCCCCACGGCCCCTCGGAGCCGTTCAACCTCAGACAACCCTGGGGATCCGGCACCATGGGCCTGCCCAGTCCCAGCCCTCACCAGGAGGACAGAGGAGCATCCACCTCCCATCAGCTCCGGCGAGGAGGGGCCTGCAGGGCACATTTCCTCTGGGGTTTGATTCCCTGCCCGAAGCTCCCAGCCATGGGAGGTCGAGCCCCCGAACGCGGGGGCAGCAGCCCCACAGTCCGGACAGAGGTCACACCCAGGGGGTAACTCGGGCACCGCGTCAGGGAAAACAGGCTCATCCGAGGAGCAGGGCCCTGCCCCCAAGCAGCTTCGCCCGCACAGAGGCCAGGTCCTGAGCACTTGGGGAAGGTGCAGGCCCAGTTTCCTAGTGCCGGGGAGCCTGCTCCTTCCAGCCACGTCCCCCTGTGCCCCCCCCCCAACCCCGTGCACACACACACTCACACACCTGTCGCCTCAGCTCCTGCAGCTCCCTGCGGGCCTCCAGCCGCGATCGCTCCACCTCCTGCAGGCTGCTCCTCAGGTCGGCGGCTTCCTTGCCCACGGCTGCCCGCGCCTCCTCCAGGGTGGCCAGCTTCTGCTCCTTCTCCTCGTTGGCCCACTTCAGACTGGGGACCAAGGCAGCGTCAGATCCCAGCGGGACGCAGCGACGTACCCCGCTCCCACCCCCCACGGCGGCTCCCCCCGCACCTGATGCGGTCGCTCTCAGCTCGCTTGACGGCAGCCCGCAGCTCCTGGTTGGAGCTCTGCAGTGCCTCCTTTTCCTTGGCCTCGTCACTCAGGCTGCGCCGCAGGTCCAGGATGTCCTTCCTCTGGACCTCATGGCCCTCCTGGCTCTCCCGTACTTTCCGGTGGGCCTCGATCACGTCCCGCCGGATGCTGTCCCGGGCATCCTCCACCATGCGCAGCTGGGTCTTTAGCTCCTCCACCTTCGTGGCAGAAAACGGGTGCGGCCGCCCTCAGATCCCTGCTGCCCCAGCACACATGGGGACTGTGTACTCAGCAGGAGGTGGCCCTGGCATGATCTCCAAGCACCTGCCCCCCCCCCGGCACCCTCCTCTGCAGGTGTCCCACCTGCCATCTCCAGTGCAACACTGTCAAGCCCTGCTGAAGGAGATCCACCGTGGTTCATGGCTCCACTTCTGTCCCCTGGTGACTCTCTCCTGCCCCCCGCTTCCATCCCCTTCTGGAAGGGGGAGGTTGGCAGTGGGGCCCAGCCCACTATCCCCCTCCCCATGCCCGCACTCACCTCGCGGAGGGTGCATTCCCGTTGCCTGACCAGCTCCTTGACCTGCTCCTGCAGCCCCCGGGCCTCCCGCTCGCGGGCCGCGACGGTTTCTTCCAACTGCACCCGCAAGCTCTTCAGCTCCGAGGTCAGGGCGTTGATGGTGCTCTGCGAACAAAGAACGGCCCAGCCCTTACTGACCTGCACCGGCTCCCCCCTCGCTGGGGTCACATTTACCAGGTTCACCCGGCCAGCTGCCAATCAGCAGTTGCCCACGACATGCACTGCACAGCCACCAGGTACAGGCAGGGGGCATTCGCCGTGAACAGGAATCAGCTTCTCCTTGGTGCTCCAGGAGGGGAGACGGCATCTGGCTTCCTCCCCCTCCTGCCTCACGGAGCTCAAGGCGAGGCGTGACCCAGCGCAGCAGCCAGTCTCCGCCCAGGGCTAGGCTGGGAAGTGACCTGCAGATCAGGAGCGAGGTGGGAGGGGACACTGGGGAGACAGGAGGGGAGCAAAAGAGGGGGCTGCAGGCCAGGAGCAAGGTGCACAGGCACTGCTGCATGGGGGGTGGCTGCAGGCCAGGAGTTAGGTGCAGTGGCATTGCTGCAATTCAGGTTTGAAATGTCTCAGCAGAGGACCTGAAACTGGCTCTGCAGATACAGATTAAGCATCTATGGAGGTGTGTGGGGCAATAAGAGGCAGTGTGGCCTAGTGGATAGGGCACTGTCCCGGGACTCAGGAGACCTGGGTTCTATTCTCAGCTCTACCACTGGCCTGCCCGGTGACCTTGGGCAAGTCACCTCTCTCTGTGCCTCAGTTTCCCCAGGTGTAAAATGGAGCTAATGCTGGTTTGTAAAGTGCTTGGAGATCAACTGATGGAAAGCGCTACCTAGGAGCGAGCTGGTGGTGGTATTTGCTTCCCGAGTTCTGCTTCGGTTCGGCGGCAGCAATCAGCACCCCCCTCCACAAACACTGCGGTGAACGTGCTCACCACCACCAGCGACCGTCTCATGTGCGTGTGTCCATCTCCCACCCTCCTGATGCCCGCATAGCACCCACACCAACCCGATCCTGCTCCTGCCGGCTGATGGCCTCTCGCTTCTGCCGCTCCATCTCCAAGGTCACGCCGGCAAGGCTGTGCTGGGCACAGGCCAGCTTCTCCGACAGGAGGGTCTTCTCCGACTCCTTGAGGGACAGGGCCTGTGTGGCCGGGAGAGATCCCAGCGAGGGAGAGAAATTCAGAGGGCGTGCGACAGGGGTGAGATCCAGGGGGTGAACTCCGGGGGGCAGGGATGGCGATAAAGGCGCAGAGGGGCTGGAGCTCCGGGATTCTGGGGTGTGGGTGGGAGCCGCAGCAGCTGTTCTGCCAGCTGGGAGCCGGCACATGCTGGGGCTGGTGTGGGGCCGGGCAGGCCCTGCTCTCTGCCCCGTTCCACCTCACGCCGTCTGCTGCTGCTGCTCAGAGTGCTGAGCGCCTGCCAGGACCGGCCCCAGCTCTCGGCTGGAGTTAATGGGAGCCTCCCCCAGGCCGGGGCTGGCAGCAGTGCCAATCCCCCGCACACCCTCCCCTACCTGCTGCTTCTCATTCTCCGCCTGCAGGAGGCTCTCGTCCCGCTCCTGCTGCAGCGCGGTGATCTCCTCGCTCAGCTCCTCCTTCTCCGCCTCGTAGCGGGCCAGCAGCTCCTCCCGCTCGTGGCTCAGCCGGTGCAGCAGCTCCTCCCGCTCCGACTCCAACTCCAGGCGCACCGTCTCCTGCACGGACCAAGCAGCAGATGCCAGAGCTCTAGGTGAAGGCTCCAAAGCTACGGCTCGGGCACGAGCCCCTCCCCGTTACCGGAGGGGATAGCAGAGCTGCACATGGGCTAAAGGTTCACAGGGCCCGCTGGTGGCGGGAGTCCAGGGAGGTGCACGTGAGCCCTAATACTGACGCAGCTGATGGAGAGTTCCAGGGCTGGAGGCCTTTGCTTTCAGAGCTGCGGGTCCCAAGGAAAGTAACCAGCAAACCAAATTGCCCAAACCCATGCTAACTCCTCCATAGGCCTGGCAGGCTCCGTGGCCCTTTCCCCACCAGGGTTGCCAACTTTCTAATTCCAGAAAACCGAACACCCTTGGCCCGCCCCTGCCCCAAGGCCCCGCCTCCCGCTCACTCCATCCCCCCTCCCTCCGTCACTTGCTCTCCCCCACTCTCTGTCACATGCTCATTTTCACTGCACGACCCAATCAGGCGTATTTCTTGTTTTGACCAATGTGTTATGCTAAGTTCAGTTGTTACTTGTTACAGGACACTACAACTGGCAGCAAAATAGTCAAAAAGGGTCATTTTTTTAAAAAAATGAAATTTCACAAAAAAGATTTTCTGATTCTTTCCCTCCCCTCTTCCCATTTGTCGTAACCAGCTCCATGGTTTTTGTTCACTAAAGTTATTGTAATTTTGTGTGTGGAATTAGGACACACATTATCACAGCTGCTCTGGGTCCATTAAAGGCCCACTCCTGAAGCCCAAATACAAATCCAGAGAGCACAACCGCAGAAATGCCCCTGTCCAGAAACCTATGTAAATAAATCTGTAGAAACTGACTCCCACACCTACATGCAGAACCACACGTGTACTCATGTGTACACGTCTAGCACGCACTAACACATGTACTTCCACATTATTTATTATTACAATTGTTGTTTAGTGCCTAGAGACCCCATCTAAGATCAGGGCTCCAGGGTGGTCGGTGCTGGACATACACATAAAAAGAGAGAGTCTGCAACAAAGCGTTTATAATGTCACAAGACAAAGGTGGGGAGATGTGTGTGATACATCGGCTCTTCTGCAATGCCTAGTCTACAACATTCACTCTTTAAGAAAGAATACGTTTCTTTTAGAGTTCCCTTCCCTCTTAAAAACTTGTTATGAAATGAATACCCACACATTTTAGGCCATACACTCTTTTTGTGGGCAAGCCAGTAAAAGGAATAAAAGTCAAAGAGTTAGGCTGAAAATTGTATTCACACAGGTATACACACAGGCGACAATACATGCACCTCCCTACACAATGACACACAGTCTCTTACGCACATACAATGCACACACACACTTGCCTACACAGAGTCACTTTTTCATACACTTTTCCAGGGGCTGCCTAAGTCACCCAGCTGGGAAGGGAGGAGGGTGGGCTGGAGGGGAAAAGATGGGGTGGGGACGGGGTGGAGGAGAGAGGATGGCGAGGGAAAGAGGCCAAGGACAAGAGCAGGGTGGGGGTGAGAGGGGGCAGTGAAGGAGAGAGGTAGGAGTGGGGGGGATATGGAGGGATGGGGATGCAGGGGAGGCAGAAGGCTACAGGTGCATGAGGATGTGGGGGGGGCACAGGGGTGTATGGGGACATAATGGGAGTGCAGCAGTGTATGGACGTGAATGGGGTGCAGGGCTGTGGGGGTGGCCGCTCTGGGAGGTGGAGAGAATGGGTGGGAGAGCGCTGTAAGGGGTACAGGGCTGGGATGGGTAGGGACTGGGGAGGAATGCAATGACTGGGGGATGGAGGTGCGGGGGGGTTGGGGAGGGATGCAATGATGGGGTGCGAGGGGTGGGACGGGGTTGGGACAGGGAGGGATGCAGTGAGTGGGGTGGGGGTGCAGCTTACTGCCTCTCCCCCTGAAACCCACAGGAAAGATTCGTGCACTCCCACTGCAGGGTCTCTGCCGGCACCATAGAAGGCAAGGAGATGTTGCCATTGACTCACTGGGATCCCTTCCCCCAACTGCCTGAGCCAGCCCGGCTGAGCCGCTGGGGTACGTAACATGGCACTGGTCTGAGTCAGAAACGGGGCCTGCCCTGTGCCGTACCTTCTCCTTCTGGAGCCGATCCACGTCCTCCTCATGAGCCACCTCCTTGTTTCTCAGCGTGACCTGGGCCTCCTGCTCCGTCTGAGCCAATTTCTGAGCCAGCAGCTCCTTATCCCTCTCCAGCCGGGTCACGTCCAGCTCCCTCTGCTTGCGGATGCTGGCCAACTCCACTGGGGATAGAGCAATGAGGATCCGATCAACATCCACAGCGTGAAGGGAGATCTGCTAACTACAGCCCTTCCCGAGGTCTGGGAGTCTTGGCAGCATGGAGGAGACAGGGACCCTGACTCTCTCACAACACTTAACTAGGGACTTTCAGCCACACAGCTCATTACAAAGGGGAGGGGATCATTCTCCCCAGCAGAAGCAGGACTAGAACTCAGGGCTCCCAGTCCTGTCTCCTACCCACTGAACCAGCCTCCTCCTCCCTCTCAATCCAGCCACCAGAGCCTGGTGGGCCTCAGGACGCCAGCAGCAGCTCGGCGAATGGGGGACAGACACTGGAAAGGGGTGAAGGTGGGAACTGAAGGAAACGGTAGGGCAGCCAGGCCCAGGTTACCCTGCAGCATCTCCTTGGCCAGGAGCAGGTTCTGGCTGTCGGCCTCCAGCTGCTCCTTCCGGGCGTCCAGCTGAGCACGCTGCTGCTGGATGTCAAAGAGGGTGGTCTCCAAGGCATCCTTCTCCGACCTGGGAAAGCGCGAGCAGAGTGAGTCCTCCCAATCACCAGCCCCTGCCCGCCCGCCCCAGGTCTCAAGCGGAGAGAGAGAGAGAAAACCACCGAGGAAGTGATGAGCAGGCCCCCAGTGTGCTAGGCGCTGGACAAAGCCGGAACAAAACGGCCCCTGAGCAGACGATCCACGACGAGAAGCACGTTGCTTTGACGACTGAACAGGCACGCCGTGGGTCCTGGCACATGGCGGCACCCTGGCCTCTGAGTGGGGGGGCAACCAGCCCTTAAAATCCCCATTGGGCCCCTCCAAGGAGGCGTGGAAAGCCACCCCAATGCACCCTCCTGCCACGGGCACAGTGGTGCATTTCAGAGTGCCAGGAAGTCGCTCCCTCTGCAAACCTCTGCCCCGAGGTCAGGAAGCTCCCGGCAGCGGGGCCTCAGGGACCCCTGGAGAGGACCGCACCACTGGGCACTCCCTGCAGAGGCACAGGTGTGGGGTCGTCTGCAGGGCAGCGGTGAAGGTGCCCACGCAATCTCACACCTCCTGACAGCGCAGGGGGGGCGGGTGAAGGGCCAGCTCCGTCCCAGCCAGAGCGACTGCCCCGGCACAGATCTGACCCCAGGGCTGGGACGTGCAAGGGGCATAGAGAGGGCAACAAGGAGACGGGACAGGAAAGGCCGGAGCTGGGTGGGGAGACACTGACCTGCCTGGGGATTGCGACATGAGAGATTCCACCTGCTCCTACAGACCCAGGGCTGCCGTTCGGCAGGGCTCCCCCACTCCCTGACCTGACACACCTGTTTGCAAACACTGCTCCCTGGTAACCATCACACACACACACACACACACACACAGCTGCTTCAGGGAGAGCTCGCTGGGCACCTGGCCCCTGCAGCGTGCGCCCGTAGCTCGCCACGCCTGGATCCAGCGGCCCCAGGAGCCTCTCTCGAACCTCACAGCTGGAGCAGCAAGGAGGCATGTGCAGCCTCCCTGCACCTCAGCTCAGGCCCCTTGTCCTTGTTCCGGGCCCACCTATCCCAGGGGGGTTGCCAGGGTTTCTGGACTGGTGCCAAGCACTCGGGCCTCGTCTCCACGTGCCGCTAAGCCTCACCCGGCCGTACTCGTGGGCGAACAGCACCTTCCCAGCGCAGGCCACGCAACAGAGGCCCGGGCGAGCCAGCAGTGAGGGGGGAAGGCAGGGGCGGCCCGGGCCGTGGGGACAGCCTGGCCATGGCAAGGGGACGAGCCCCCATGGGAAGGGGAGGGGAAACTCAGGCTGGCCCCACCATGGAGGGGAGGTGCCGGGGAAGCCTCCTCCCCCCCGAGCGCCAAGTCGCTCCAGGATGGCAGTACCCCTGTAGATGGTCTCAAAGGCAGGGTGCCCATCGAGGGATCCCCATTCACAGCACCCATGGGGAGGGAGAGGCCGGGGCTGTATGTGTCCAGCCGCAGGAGGGACCCCGTTGTTCCTGGCCTGCCCAAACCTTACCGGAGCCCAGCGATCTCCTCCGCCAACCCCCTGTTCTCCCGCTCCGACGCCGCCAGCTGCACCACCAGGCTGGCCTTCTCCTTCATCAGCCCCTCCTTCTCCCTGGCGGCTCGCAGCAGGGCCTCGCTGAGCCGCTCCTGCTCCCGGCGGGCCTGCCCCAGCTCCTCGCTGGCTGCGTTCCTCTGGCGGGACAGCTGGCGGGGAGGGGAGGGGACAACAGGCAGATCTGAGCCTGGAGGGGAGGCCATGCCCTGGGCACCCAGGCCCCTAGCAGCGAGAGAGCCAGGCTCCAGCCACTCTCGGAGGGACCCATCTCATCTGTGGTACCTGCCTGCCTCCCCGGCTCCCAGCACCCCCAGCCTGCTCCTCTGCCCCATGCCGGCCGTCTCCCAGCAGCCCCAGCCTGCTCCCCACCCAGGCCCTCCCCCCGCCTGCTCCCCCAGCTCCCAGCGCCCCCCAGCCTGCTCCCCACCCAGGCCCCCACCACCACCCCGCCTGCTCCCCCAGCTCCCACCACCCTCTAGCCTGCTCCCCACCCAGGCCCCCACCACCTCCCTCCTGTTCCCCCAGCTCCCAACACCCCCCTGCCTGCTCCCCACCCAGGCCCTCACCACCCCCCAGCCTGCTCCCCCAGCACCCCCAACTTGACCCCCAAATCCCAGCACCCCTGCAGCTCCCAGCATCTAGCAATCAGACCCCCACATGCACCTCCCAAGTGCATGCCCTCCATGTGGCTCCTGCGCTCCACCCCACTACCTGCCCCAGCTGCTCCTGCAGCTGCACCCTCTCCTTCTGCAGGGCCAGCAGCTCCCTCTCCAGCCTCTCCCGGCTCCGCTCCACATCCTGCAGGGAGTGCTCCAGCCCCTGCCTCTCCGTGTCCAGCTCCAGCTTCTCCTGCTCCAGCCGGACCAGCTCATCGCGGATTGAGGCCTTCTCCTGCTCCACCTCCCGCTTCTGCCCCAACACGGCCCCCTTCTCCTCCTCCAGCTGTCAGGGGCAGGACAGGAGAGACCGTCACCTGCCTGGGAAACAAAGCCCCCACCCCAGGTACCTGGGGCAGCTCCTTGTTCACCCCCTGCCCATCGCTTCCTCCAGGGGCCTCAGCCATAACCCCTCTATCCCTCCCCATGGGAAGGAGCCATGGACCAGGCCAACCCTCCATCGATCTAGGACAGACTGGGCTAGGGTGCTTGTCCCCCATTGAGGCTCCCCCATTTGACTAGGGACCAAATGGCTCGGCAGCAGTTCTGCGGAAAAGGACCTAGGGGTTACAGTGGACGAGAAGCTGGATATGAGTCAACAGTGTGCCCTTGTTGCCAAGAAGGCTAACAGCATTTTGGGCTGTATAAGTAGGGGCACTGCCAGCAGATCGAGGGACGTGATCGTTCCCCTCTATTCGACATTGGTGAGGCCTCATCTGCAGTACTGTGTCCAGTTTTGGGCCCCACACTACAAAAAGGATGTGGGAAAATTGGAAAACGTCCAATGGAGGGCAACAAAAATGATTAGGGAACTGGAACACATGACTTATGAGGAGAGGCTGAGGGAACTGGGGATGTTTAGTCTGCGGAAGAGAAGAATGAGGGGGGATTTGATAGCTGCTTTCAACTACCTGAAAGGGGGTTCCAAAGAGGATGGCTCTAGACTGTTCTCAGTGGGAGCAGATGACAGAACGAGGAGTAATGGTCTCAAGTTGCAGTGGGGGAGGTTTAGGTTGGACATTAGGAAAAACTTTTTCACTAGGAGGGTGGTGAAGCACTGGAATGGGTTACCTAGGGAGGTGGTGGAATCTCCTTCTTTTGAGGTTTTTAAGGTCAGGCTTGACAAAGGCCTGGCTGGGATGATTTAGTTGGGGATTGGTCCTGCTTTGAGCAGGGGGTTGGACTAGACGACCTCCTGAGGTCCTTTCCAACCCTGAGACTCTATGATTCCCCTGGAAAAGCAGAGATTCAAGTCAATGCCCCTTCTCCCTGCAGGCTGCCTGCCAAGGTCAATGTCCCCAGACCAGAGCCCCCAGGAGGCGCTGGGCCGCACTGCCAAGCCCATGGCGGCACCGACCTGGCTGATGATCCTGTTGAGTTCAATTTTATCCTGGGCCAGCCCCTCGTTCAGGGAGCTCATCTTGGACAGCGAGTCGCGCAGCGAGGCCTCCTCCGCCTTCAGCTTGCTGGCGGTCAGCTCCAGCTCGGCCCGGCTCGCATCCGCCTGTGAACATGGGGCAGGGGGAGAGAGATCAAACAGCCGGGGTCACTGCAGCAACTTGGGCACAGGAGTCCCCACGGAGCACGGCAGGGAGCGGAGAGCCGCCCAGCAGGGGAGGACGCGGATAGAAGCCTGGATAAGCCAGGGGTGTGAATCCCACTAGCCAAGCTGAGGGCTAGGACCCCTCCCCCAGCCCTGGCGCAGCCCCCCTACTGTCCCAATGTGGCATGCATAAAATAAAGCAAACGGCTGCAAGAAACGCAGCGCCCTCCCATGGTTACAGCTGGGGACGGCATTCTGGGGTCTATTCCCAGCTCTCACACTGACTCGCTCGGTGACCTCAGGCAACTTCTCTTTGCCCCTCTGCGTCTCAAAGGACCTCCGAACACTGTCTAAATATTAATCAAGGCTACGACACCTGCGTGAGGCCGGGACGATCCTTCTCCCGCTTTGATGGAGGAAGCAGAGAAGGTCAGTGGCCTGCCCAAGAGCCCACAGCAGATCCATTGTTAGCTAATTATTTGTATTACCATCGGCTCTAGGAACCCCATGGCCCGGGACCCCACCGTGCTTGGCTCTTTGCAAACCCAGACCAAGATGGTCCCTCCCCCAGATTGCTGACAATCTAAGTGCAAGACAAGAGAGAACAGGTGGAGACAGACAGACAGAGGAGTATCATGAAACAATGAGCCAACAGCGATCAGCGTGACAGGCAACAGAACGCAGGAATCCTGCCTCCTGGTCTTGTGCTCTAACCACTAGGAAGTGCGCCCCCTCTAGAATGGGGGCAGCATCTGCCCATCGGATCAGGGAGTTGTGAAGGGCAGTTTTGTTTGCAGGCCTAAGAGGAGAGGTGCTAGAGAGGGGAGCATCCTTCGTCAAGATCTCCTCAGGGAGCTGCCTTTAAAACAGACCTGTAGATTGGAAGTGGCAGAACGAGTGATGCTACCATAGCATTATCCATCAGACGCACCCATACCAGCCAGCCCAACAGCTACTCCCGAGCCCCACTGTAATACCTGCCCCCTCCCTCCCAATCCCCGATTGCCTCTCGGGGCGCAAAGCCCTACCTTGGAAAGCGCCTCTGCCATCTCCACCTTCTCATTCTCAGACACCTCCTTCTCCAGGGTGGCTTTGTTCAGAGCCTCCTTAACAAGCATCAGCTCCTTTTTCAGACTGGATTTCTTCACTTCCAGCTGCTCCAGCTGTTTGTGGCTGCAGGGCACAGAGAGGGACTCACACACAACCCCCTGTGCTCTGGCAGCAGGGGACCTTTAACACCCTTTGTCACTGGCTATCCTTGCAAGGGAGCACAGCAAAGGGACTTCAAAGAGCTAATTAGTCCAAAGGGTGGAACTCTCCAGCCTGTGTTATGCACGAGGTCAGACTACATGATCCAGCCTTGGAATCTATGCAGGGCTTAATTTGTGCTGGGGCCTGGCAGTTCAGAGCCCCGGGCACCTCGGGGCCTGGCAGTTCAGAGCCCCGGGCACCTCGGGGCCTGGCATGTCAGTTATGAAACAAAAAAAATTGCTTGAGCCCTGGCATCTCTTCCATTACAAATTAAGCACTGACTCTATGGCTCTATTTTGTCCCCACTGCAAATTTTCCCTCCCCAAGCCTCTTCTGGAGTCCTGCCTTCGCTTTCTCCAAAAGCTTCCTTTTTGCCTGAAAACATTCAGGACAGAAATGAGGTTTTTGGAAATTCTGAAGGAAATCAACAGGGTCATTTCTGAATCTTTATGGCTCTGAAAAAAACGATCATTTTTCTAGGTATAGCCAGAATACACACACAAACTATATATATGTGAGATTATTTGCAGCGTTGTAGCCGTGTTGAGCCCAGGATATGAAAAAGACAAGGTGGGTGATATCTTTTATTGGACCAACTTCTGTTGGTGAGAGAGACAAGCTTTCGAACTCCACAGAGCTCTTCTTCACTCCTTATGCTAAACAATCTGTCTCACCTTGTATTTAGCTGGGACACACCAAGTCCCTTTCCCAGAACTGAAGAAAAGCTCTGTGTGGCTCGTGCTTGTCTCTTTCGCCACCAGAAGTTGGTCCAGTAAGAGATATGACCTCACCCGCCTTGTCTCTCTCTGGATATGATTGAGGAGTGGTTTGCCCTCTTGTGGTGCCTCATACAAGAACGTCTGCTTTTACCAGCCCTGCCCATCACTCAGCGCCCTCCCTTTGAACCACGCCAACAGGAGATTAAGCTTAAACAAGCCAGGCAGAGGGTTTGGCCTAGGTGTCCGCAGTAAGAGAAGGGAAAACACCACTAACGGGGGTTGTTTTTATAGCAGCTCAGCTCAAATGACCCATGGAGAAATCTCACCTCGCCTGGAAGCCAGGCAGCCTGGGTCTGCAAGACCTCAGCTGGCAGGGAGAGTTGGGCCCCAGGATCAGGGCTGGGACGCTGGGCACGGGCACCAGCGGGGCTTGCCTTGGGGTGCTCAGGGGAGGAAGGCCTGGCACGTTGGAGCACCGGGCTAGGGTGCTGCTCACTGGAGCGGGGTAGCTACTGAGGAGCTTCTGTCTCTGGCTTGGTATTTCCTCCACACCCCTCCACCCCCCCACGCTGGCCACTCTCCCCATACCAACCCGCGCTCAATCTCCTTCTGCGCCCGCTCCTTGTCCTTGGCGATGTCCTCCTTCTCGTCCTCCAGGCGTTCTCGCTGCCGCTGCAGGTCGCTGTTGGCCAGCTGCAGCCTCTCGCTCTCCTGCCGCAGGGCCTCCACATGCTGCTGCAGGGCCTGCAGGCTTCGCTCCAGGTTGCTCTTCTCACTGACAGACGGGCACAGACAGACAGATTTCTGGGGGCTGAACAGCCCTTTAAGGAACAAAAATCAACCCTCCCCACGTTCCAGGGCCCTTGTTCTGTGGTGCAGAAAGTCGCCCCTAGAGCAGGCTCCGCTCCCAGGATGTCAGCAGGGCAGAAATGCCCATGTGACACCCGTCCCATCAGCCGGGATATGCTGGAGCACAGGGGGATGGGCAGGGGGGAGCGCCCATGGAAGTACCTGCCCAGCAGGTCAGCCGAGGAGCGGAAGCGGCTGGCATCCCGCACGGCATCATCCTTGGCCCGCAAGGAACAGTCAACATCGTCCTTCAGCTGCAGGATCTTCTGCTCCAGGGAGCGTCGCTCGTGATCTCTTTCCACCAGCTGCTTCTTCAGGGAGCCCACCAGCTCCTGGATGGCTTCGTACTTGCCGCGGATGTCCTAGCAGAAACCCCAGCAAGTCAGCTCCTCTCCCTCTGAAGCACTGCCCACCCCCTGTGCACCCCGCCATCCGCACCGCCTGCCACCGGGGCTTCCTGCATGGCTGATCACACTCCATGCCCTTTGGACGACAATCTCCCATGGGAATCCCACCCATTCCAAACCCCCCTCCCCAGAATCCTATTCCCTGCAAGGCACGAAAATCCCCCAGATGTTTCCAGCCAGGAACTACCCTGTCAGGCTGCTTTATCAAAAGAGCAACGCTTGCAATCCTGTTCGCTTCCCACTCCCCTGGTGGGCACCAAACAGCCCCACAGAAATGCAGCCTGAACAGCTATAACCCCACAGATGGCCCTCGTGGCTCAGCGGCCCCACTCCACACAGTCTCGCAGAGCTGGGGAGCAGGAGTACGTCTGGGTGCCCAGTCGAGGCCTGGCCCACCGCCATGAAGGAATCCCATGGCCACGTGCTCTGGGAGGTCCCGTCCCCTCACCTGCACCTGCAGCTGCCTCTTCTGCAAGGCGGAGTGCACCACGGCCAGCGTGGAGTCGGAGAAGGCCGGCGAGAGGCTGCGCCGGGGGGAGGAGCTGCGCCGGGGGGAGGAGCGCCGGAGCGGGGACGGGGTGCGGAGGCTGGAGGAGAGGCCCCGCAGGCTGAATCCCGTGGCGTCGCTGTCCGAAACGTCCGTCGTTCGCTCTGTGCCTGTGAGGTGGATGGCGCTGTCGGCATCGGACAGGACGGCCTGAGCGGGAGAGACAATGGCGAGCCACTGGGTACAGGCACCAGGATGCCAAACCAGTCTCTAGGCTCCTGTCGCCACAGAGGCCGCTAGCCGGGGGCCTAGGCCGCCAGCCTCCAGAGCGCGACACCGCCACCGCTCAAAGCCCGACTGGAGCAGGGCAACGTTTTCCCGGAAAATTAGTTTTTTCATCAACAGCTTTTGGGGCCCGGAACTCCCCACGGGTGTCGGGGTGAATTCAACCACTAGCTTCAGGGGAAAAAAAAATGTAGTAAGAGTCAAAACGTTTCATTCCGACCATTTCAAAAAGTTTGGTTGCGACTTTTTTTGTTTCAACTTCAAAGTTTTGCCAGGTTAAAAAGGGGAACCCCCCACCCCAAAACTGAATTTAAAAAAAAAATCATTTTGAGTTGACTCAAAACGTTCTGGGTCCATTCAAAACTTTTTTTTTTTTTTTTTAGTTTTTCGAGTGGACAAAACAAAACGTGAAGACCTTTTTCTTTTGGTTTGACTTGAATCTGATTTTTCCTCTGGATTTTTCAGTTCAGCCCCTGATGACTCTGAGAAAACAGCTTGCTCTTGAGAGGGGCAGCTCCTCCCTCCAGGTGATCCATTTGCTGCCCTGCCCATCAGCTGGGTGACAGGCCCGCGCCTCTCCCTGATCTTTCCCCACAGGTCAGACTGGCAGAGAGCTGGGGGGGTTCACCTTTCTCTGCAGCATGTGGGTGCAGGTCACTTGCCGGGATTACCTGGGTACATCTCACTTGATCAATTTCCTGCCACTGCAGGAGCCTCAGGCACTGGTGCCCCGGGGTCCCTCCCGTTCTCTGCCTGTGGCACAGAACAGTCTAGTCTCCTGTGGGCTGTAAAACGTTGGTCTCATTTCGGCTCTTGGGTTTATTGTACGGGTGCTGGCGGCTGAGCTATACAGGAGATCAGACTAGATGATCGGGTGGTTCCTTCTGACTGTCAATTCTACGACTCGGTAACGGCTCACAAGTCGGAGAACCCTGCTCTCTGGGGTACCCCGCCTCGCTCACGGGACCCGCGCGCCCTGTACCTGAGCAAGGTCTCGCAGCGTCTGCTGGAGCATCTCCGACTCTGTCCGCAAGGCCTCGATCTCCTCGGCCTCCAGCGCTGCCTGCTCCTGCACCCGCGCAGCCTCCTGCAAGCAGAGACACGGCATCAGCCAGGCGGCGCTCGAGACCCCCACGTCCGCTCCACGGCTCGTTTCTGGCTCCAGCTCGCAGCTCTCCCCAGAAGGCCCAACACTGTGCTGTGATCAGCCAGGGAGTGGCAGGCGGACTGCTGGTGGGCCTTTCGCTGGAGCACAGACACCAAGATGGATCGCTGTTTCAGATGCTCCCATCTCCTCCGGGAACCAGCCAAGTCATGCTGAGCCTCTCACCAGATTTTCCAGCTTCTGGGTCAGCGTCTCGACCGTCTTCTCCTTCTCCGAGTTCTGGGCTTTCAAGCGTTCCACGGTGGCCATCGTCTCAGCAACTCTGGAGCAAGGGAGGGGGGCTGGTCAGGGTGAGCAGAGGAATGGCCAGGGACCCATACTTCACGGCACAGGGCCAGAACTCAACGGCCATGGGCCAGGTCAAGCATTTGGAGATCCCTGGACCCCCAGCCGTCCTAGAGAGAGGTCTACCACTCCACGTTTGGTCCAGGGACCGAGATGCTTCATGCCGACAGTGCCCTGGGAAAACCCCCACCCCAGTATCTCAGCCCTGGCTGGAGCACATGGCAGCTTCCTCTCCTCTCCATGTCCCAGTAACATCCTCCAAGTACACCATGTCCCCTCCCCCAGCCCTTTCCCCACAGCGCTGAGCTTGCCCAGCTGATGTCTAGTAAGAGGCGGGGGGAGACCAGGCCACACCCCATGTCCTGGGCCTGGCACCTGTGGACCCAAAGGAATGGCTCTGCGGGGAGCCCCTGATCGGCTGGAACCAGGAACCATGTTACTCTCCAGCAGTGATGCTCAGACTGCGGCTCCGGAGCCACGAGCAGCTCGTTAATGTGTCTCCTGAGGCTCTTTGCTGCACACGATATTAAACACCACGGGATGTAATTATTGATCTAAGTTATTAACCAATCAGGAGGCTTTTCCGGTGTTATTAACCAATTGTAGTTGATAAAATAACAACACTGGGTCAGAATAACCAAGAATATATAAATAGTAAATGAAACACTGAACCCCCACGGCTGGGGCTCTTTTGGGTAATGCCAATTGCTAATTTGGCTCCTGGAGAATCCGAGGCCAACACCGCTACCCAGGCCCGCATGAGATTTGAACAGGCAACCTCCTCGTTCTGAGACCACCGCGCTAACCCCCTGAGCTAGAGAGCCAGGCCCCAGGCCTCTTGAACCACTGAGGTCTGAGTATCGCCGCTCTGCAGGGCCGGTGGGAAGTTAAGGCTCCAGGATGGTCATAACATGGGACAGACGGGTCCACCTCTGCCCTTCCTTCTCCCGTGAGCAGGATATGCTCAGCCCACTAGCCCCATCCACCAAGCCAAGGATCTCCAAGGAGGGGCAGCGCTCCCTGATTCCCCGTGGATGCACGGTGCATCTCCCAGACCGGCGAGCTCCAAGCTTCAGGGCCTGGGACACTGGCCCTGATCGGGGGCATCCGTACCTGGTGCCGAGCTCCGCTTTCTCCATGTCACACCTGACCTGCAGCTGGATCATGTCGCGCACCTTGTCCTTCAGCTGCTCCTCCAGCTGGGCCAGCAGCAGGGCCTGCTTCTCCAGGGCCACGCTGGCGCTGCTCTCCGACAGGCGCAAGTTGCTGCTCAGGTTCAGACAGGCGGCGTGGATGGTGCGGCCGGACCGGGACAGCTCGTTGCTCAGCTCCGACAGGTCCCTGCACCCGAGTCCCAAAGAGAGGGCCGTTTCCGGGGGCCCGGGCACCCCGAGGAGCCCACGCTGCGGGATCTACAGAACCCCATGCCCCATAACCTGCAGGGCATCTCCCTCCGAGGGGGCCTGGCTGGGATCTAAACCCACATGAGCCCGAGCGTTCAGAACCGACACGGCCTCCCCTGCCTGCAGAACTTACAGAACCGCCCCTGCCAGGGAGAAGGTCATTAAAGGCCCCCAGGCAGGACACGCAGAGAAGCGGAAATCAGGCCTGGCAGCCAAACATGGCTCCCAGAATGGGCTAACGGGTTTGTCTGGGGGGTGCGGGGGAGATCGGGAGGGCTGTTCTGCACTCAGGTTGTTCTCACAGGGATCCTGGAGGAGGCACTGTAAGCCACGGGGTTCTGGGCCGCTCAGGTAGCTTTCCCAAGCCCAGCTCCTTGTGCTTTTCAAAGAAAAAGAGCCCAGCAACCGCCCGCCCCACGCACACACCCTGCCCCCACACTCCTCCTGACCTCTCGGTCATGGTCTTCATCTCACTGAAGTGGCGCCGGAAGCCCACCACCTGTCTCCAGAGGGTCAGCAGCCGGCTGTGCTCATTGCTGAAGTAGGTGTTGAATGACTGGGAAGGGAGAGAAGAGGAGAAGCAGTGACAGCCAGATCCCCCTCCCCAGGCACCCCCCCCACGCTGCCACGCCCCCGTTCAGAGCGACGCGCTAACAGGAACGGCCAGCGCACCCCGGGGGAAGCATAGGGCACAGCAAGGCACTCGCTGCCTGGCTGGATACAGAGCACCTGGCCCTGACTGTCCATAACGCCCCACAAGTGAGTGAGCCCTGCTCCATGGGGCGCCCTGCATTGCTCTCGGTATCCCGAAGGCGCAGTCACCGCTGACCTCAGTGGCAGCTCCAGGCAGGACTCTTAGCAAGAGCTAAGTTTATACAGAGTTTTTGATGCTGCAGGACCCCTTCCCCCACACAAAGGGCTTGAACCAGCTATGCACAGACAGCCCCACTGAAATGCAGCCACCTCTGGGGCAACGCAGTGACCGTTGGCACAGAAAGGCCCGGAGCAGAGAGACTTGGCTCCCACTGATGGTAAAGGGAAGTTGCAGGGGAGGGGACAAATCACCTCTCCAGGGACTGGTAGCATGCGTGCGGATCCGTCTCTGCCCAGCAGGACGGTGCACACACGTTGGGCATGCACAAGGGAGAATGACACATGCCAACCAAGGCCGCAATGAATCTCTCTGGCCCTAACCTCCTCCTCTCGCCTCCACTCCACCTCCCGCTGCTCCAGCTCGTTGCGTGCTTTGGTCCAGTCGGTCGTCAGCTTCCGGATGTCCTCGCTGAGGGCCTGGTTGGCGGCGTTGGCCTGGTCCAGCTGCTCCCGCAGCATGGCATTGACCTGGGCCAGGCTGGCGCTCCTGGAGACAGGGACACAGCGAGAGCAAGGGCTGAGAAGGAAATGAGGGGCCCGTGCAGAGCCGGCAAGGGACTGACTCTGGCATGGGGCAAAGGGCCCAACATGGAGGATGGGCCCTGACATCGCAGCTCTGAGACACCGAACAACACAGATCCAAACACTTCATTCAGAATAAGACAATCACTGCCCAATTCAAGCGCCTTCCAGCCGAGCGCCTCATGACCCTTTCCAGGCATTAACTGAGCCCATTGTCAATAAGGGAGCTACAGGGATCAGTTCACCCACCACTGCCAGGCAGCCACCTCTGAGGCACAGCGTGGCAGCTGCACACAACAAGAAGCAAGAAAAGAGCCTGTCCAATTGAATTTGAAGAGGAGATTTGGGGAAACCCAATGTAATAACCTGCGAGGGAATTTGGCCGTGAGGCTGGAGTTAACACCCTGACTCAGCTAAAGCACCAGGGGACCAATAGTGAGCAAAAGTGCTCAGGACAGTTTCACACCGCAAAGTACACGTCACTTCCAGTCGCGCAGCACCCCTAGGCCTGTGCTAGGGATTAGTACTGCAGTACTCCTGGGGTGGGGCGGGTAAAACCCGGCAACACCACTGCCTACAGTAACCAGGCATCCTTGGAGGTCACCTGTCCAAATATGAACCCAGCCGGACCCTGCTTAGCTGGAGAATCACAACCCCCGGTGGCTCAGCTGCAGGGAAATGCTGGGCCTACGTGCAGGCGATACCAGGAGCACGGACTCCAATGGTAGATTCCTGGCATAGCCCAGACTCCAAGGAAGCTGCTCTCCCAGCCCAGCATGAAGCCCAGCCAGGCAGCAGGTGCAATAGAGGCCCCGAAGAATGGGGCTCCAAGGATGCAGCAGCCCAGACCCACCTGAGCCCCAGGTGGAGCCCCGTGGACAGGACCCCTCCAACCACCTCCCCCGACACACCTTTGCTGCTCCTCCTCCAGCCGGATGAGCGCGTTCTCCAGGTCATTGCTGTGCTCTTCATCCTGGCGCAGGCGCGAGTCCGTCATGTCCAGCCGGCTCTGGGGGAGGGCATGGGCAGCAGCTGGTTAGCAGGGGGCTAGGGGCTCTGGATAACCAGGCCGTCCCTTTCGGCCATGGGATGGAGAAGAGCAGCGTGGGGCAAGCGCCCCACAAACACCACCCCAGGCCTGCCTGGACCCACCGCCACGAGTCGGTCAGGCCTTGGTCTGGCAGCCGAGGCTGGGACAAGGGGGCCAGTTAGAGCAGCTGCGGAGCTGGCTGGTGCAGCCTGGGCTCCCATCTACCTGAGCAGGAACTGGCCGGGGGGGACAGGCTCATTCCAGCAGGTCCAATCAAGCAGGAACACAAGAGGGCCGCCTGCCGTGACCGAGTCCCTGAGCCAGCCGGCCCCCGGCACGTGGGCAGAAAACAACGGCGGATGTAACCCACCCCCACGCCGCCTGGAGCCATCCCCGCTAGTCACAGACTTGGCTCAGAGCTGGGCCTTTCCGCTCAGACAGACGCTGCTCTTACTGTTCGATCAAGAAGTCGCTGGTTCAATCCCACTGACAGGGACCCAGCCAGGGACATCGTTTCACTAGTGGGCGTGGGGTCCTTCGGGCTTTTCGCTGGCACTGGGAGGAGGGCGACACTCACCGTGAGTCTCTGCTGCTCCAGCTCAGTTGATTTCTCCAGCAGCTGCTGTTCCACCTCCCCACACTTCTTCTTGTACTGGAGAACCTGCAGGAACGCAGCAGCTCAGAGCCCGCCCCCAGCCTGGCTCCGCGGATGCTCGGCAGGACAAGGAAAACACAGCCACAGAGCTGGCCGGCCCCCCACCCTCCCTGCCACAACCACAGTGCCCTGCAAGGCCACTCACTCCTGAAATCCTAACCATCATCAGCCGACCCCCATGGCAGGCCCCTTCCACCCCACCTAAGTCACTAGTTCGGTAGGTTCAGCTACCTAGAATTAAGCACCAAGGCATTATGCACAGTCCCTCCAAGTGAGGGGAGGGGGACAGACTGGTCTCCACACCCCATAAGCTGAGAATCTTCAGCTATCTCCAGCAGGGCCCTAGCTCTCCCACAGCTAACCCCTTCCCCCTCCCGCAATGCCCCACCACCCTCCAGCTGACAGAGAGCCCTCGGCGATGGAGCAGCTCTTTGAGGAGAGACTAGTCCATGACTCCAGGGAGGACTGAGTCACCTCGAGGCCGCTGCACTGAGCCCCCGGCCATTTTGGGGGCCGGGGGCACCTTTCCTTCCAGCCCAGGCCCTGCCCACTCTGCATGGACATTACAGATCCCGGAGCACTTTGCCAGTTTTGCTCAGACATCCTTAGCCAAAATATTCTGTACAGTGCAGGGTGCTGGGTTGGCTGCCACTCCACACTCCCCCCCAGAGGTGGCTGCACATGGGTGCCGTATATACACAGCTAAATCCGCAGCCTCCAAACCCCAGCTATGCAGATCCCAGAGTGTCCAAACCGCGATGATCAGAACGACTGAAACAAGCCAGAGCTGAGTGGGCAGACGAGCTTGGAGAAAGCAGATGGGGCCTTCTCTGCAGCAGCCTCAGGGTTCCTTGCTTGGGTCAGGCAGCTTCTTCCTTTCCTTCAAGCCACTCTAAGAAGTCACTGCAACGCTACATCCCCTCGCCGCTCGTCTCAGAGCCCGTGCCGCCCTGGGCACACCTACACGGCCATCAGGAGGGGTGAGGGCAGCCTGGGTAGACGTGCCCAAGCTGGCTTGGACCCCACTAGATCAGTGGCTCTCAACCTATTTACCACTGTCGGTGGCATATGCAGCTCTCTGTGGGTTCGGTCGACATACTCCCTGCATGGCCCTGAGGCTGTCACAGGGGGCCGCAGCCGTGCGCTGGCTGGCGGGCGGAGAACCAGTGCGCGAGATCGCTGCTAGCTCAGGTAGCCAGGCTAGTCCCAGGGAGAGCAAAGCCAGCTCCGGTGGCCAGCTGCAGCCGCACCTCCCGCAGACAGACCCCCCCCCCCGAGCAGACCCCGGCCCGTCCAGCGCCGGACACCCACCTTTGCCTGCAGCTTCTGGACGAGCTGCGCCTGACGCTGCTGGCCCTCCTGGTAGGCCTGGAGCTTGCGTTTGTAGGCGGCCTGCTCCTCCTCCAGGTGGCGCCGCAGCTCGACGTTCTGCTGGGCCAGGCTCTTGTTCTCCAGCGACTCCCGCTCCCCGGTCTCCAGCCGCAGGGCCTGCTCCAGCTGGGCCCGGAGAGATGGGGGACAGGGTCACTGCAGACGCGCCTGCCAACCGGCCTCCTGCGCACTCGATCTGGCCCCTTGAGCCACCCCTTTCCCCTGTCCCATTTCGGAGGATTAGCCCCCAGCAGAATCCAGGGCTTCCCCCGGGAGCCACAGTGCCCAGCTTCTTTGAATTCATGCTCTGTAGAAACCTGCTACCAGGACAGGGTTAAAGGGACATTCTTAGTACTTTTTACATGGCAATAGCACCTATGGGCCTGTCACGGATCAGCACCCCCTTGTGCCAGGCGCTGCACAAACCCAGACCACACACGCAGCCCCTGCCCTGAAGAGCTTGCAGTCGAAGTAAATATCCAGCAGCGGAGGCAGAGAAAGACAGAGCTACAAAAAACTAATATGAACAGAAAGGGTCATCACTATGTTTCAGGTTTCAGAGTAACAGCCGTGTTAGTCTGTATTCGCAAAAAGAAAAGGAGTACTTGTGGCACCTTAGAGACTAACCAATTTATTTGAGCATGAGCTTTCGTGAGTAGCTCACGAAAGCTCATGCTCAAATAAATTGGTTAGTCTCTAAGGTGCCACAAGTACTCCTTTTCTTTTCACTATGTTTCAGTGAGAACATGCTACGTTTGCACAGAAAGGCCTCTGGACCCTTCCTTTTCGGTGGCCTCCGCAGATCCTCCTGCTGCTGAAGGAGCAGAGTGTTACTGAGCTGTTCACACCCGGGAAGGAATCTCGCCCTCAACAGCCTTCAAGCTAGAGCAGAAGGCCTGGAAAGTGAAACTGACCAGTCTAGCCTCACCTTCCCCAGCTATGGGCAAAAGATCAAAGCAGCCACTCAACAGCGGACAGTGCTCTTAGGACCAGAGTATTTATCTTGGCAGCTCCCCTCCGCCATGGGCCAGAGCTTTGGGGTTCCCACTGGGGTCAGGTATAAATATTATTTCTCTGCAGCAGAGGCCTCTCTGAGTCACATCACATTCTGATGGCACCGTTGGTGCCAGCCTCCCTGGTCGGGGTTGGTTTCTTTGCACCGAACCCAGCTGAACCTCACGCCACCCTGCCCCCTCCTTTGATTAGCCACCCTGACTGTCGGGTCTCCACCACTTCCAGCCTCCCACATGCCTGCAAAGCAGTCCCCTCCATGCTGCTAGGTATTCACCTTTTGCCGGAGTCAGAGATACCAGTGGCTTTTCATCTGTAGATGCTACTGTAACAGAGAACCCAGCCAAGATCAGAGTCCCATCATGCTAAGCACTGATCACACGTTCAGTACAGTCTCTGCCCTCTTGAGCCTCAATACATCAGACAGAAATGGTGGGAGGGGAAACAGAGGCACAGAGAGGCAAAATGATTTGCCCAAAGGTGTCACAGACAGATCAGCATCAGTGGCAGAACCCAGGTCTCCTGACACCCAGACAAATGCCTTATCCACTAGGCCACACAGCCTCTCTAAATCCTTGATTTCCATTCATCTTATCTAAGAGAAGAGACTCAATGTATTACAGACCGGGTCCACTTCTGCTCCACTGCGGCCAACAGAACAGAGGCCATCCCGAGCTCCTTACCATTTGGTTCCTCCTCCTCAGCTCCATCTCTTCCAAGCGGTTGGTGCCCAACCCCCGACAACTCCAGCTGATGGCTTGCTCCAGCTTCCACAGCAAAAAACATTGCGAGATCAGTGCTTGGAACCACTCCACATACACAGCATAGCGCCCGGGTGACACAGGGGCTGCATGCTGCTAACCGTGCATGCTCTTCCCTGACTGTCAACAGAAAGAGAGCCCCGCGGCATGCAAAGCAAACCTTCCCATGCGTCAGAACACAGCAACGCAAACCATGCACCGAACCCCTGCCTGGGTGAGAAAAACGTCACTGCACGGTGCTCCCCAGAGTTCTGAGAGCAAAGACAGCAACTCTGCGTAGACAGACATCTGCATGCAAAGTTAAGATCCCAAGGGACTTGGCGATGAAATGTTTTGCTTGCAAAGACGACTGCAAAAAAGATCACATATACATAGCTAGCCTCCTGGGCTACCAAAGCCTGAAAGAATATACAGCAACCATACTGCTTAGCTGGGGGGGTGGCCCTGCAGGGGCAGCCGTTGTAAAGGCTAGGAAAGGGGTCTGGAATCTGTAGCAAGTAGCTGCAGACTGCTGGGTTGCTAGCCTCAGAATACATAATAGCGAGACCCCTTCCAAGAGCCATGGGGGACACAGGGCAATTCACATCAGGGCAACATCACATCTTGCATGATATGGGCAGGCAGACTCCTGATCGAATATCATCTGCGTTATCACATGACCCCAGAGTCAGAAACCAGGCTGGAGTGAACAGGACTCCACCTGTCTGCACTGGGCTGGGAGGGAAGGTTACCCAGCTAGAGGAGAGAGGACACACCTATAACACCAGTTCCCACTGCTGGGCACAGACCCTTGGGGAGCTGCATAAGCACAAGATGACGTGGGCCTGGCCGACCGAGGGGAAACGTAACTCCTGGGGACTTTATGCCACATTAACAAGCATTAAAAATACCTGGCACATATTCTAACAAGGGCAGAAAAAATAGATCATCTACTGGGGGGGGGGGGAGATTTGTTAATTTATTTGCTGACCAAGATAAAAGTCTCTCCTGTACATGCACACAGACCTCAGTAAGGGAGCTCCCACCCAGGAGCCATCCAACCTCCAATGGGGATTCCTAGTATAAAGCAACGGTGACAGGACACATAAGCCACAGAGCTTTCCCTGGGAATGTTACACACAAGCACATGCTAGGTCGGGGTTTGGTTCCTTCCATGAACGTAAAAACGGGGCCAGGCTGATCTGACAAGGCAGAGGGAGCTGGGAACCCTAACGTGTGATTTATGAGCTACCATGCTCGAGGCTCAGCTGTGTCTCACGAGGGACACAAGGGCCCGGGAGATGGGGGCGAGGGGTCTACCTCCTGTCCAGTCAGTCAGAAGACGGACCATCTATGAGCAGCATCTGTAGGAACTCAGGGCCTGATCCACGCGGAAATCAATGGAAGCCTTTCCACCGAGTTCAGCAGGGTTTGGATCAGGCCCATCCCAGGGCCTGAGTGGGTGTTAACTTGGCACAAGTTATCCCGTAGAACTTTGTGGGTTACGGGTTTGGCTCCTGCTCCGTCATGGGGAGGAGAATCCTGCAGGGACCTTTGCAGGGATGTTGAGTGGGACATTCAGCCAGGAGAGGGCTGGTCCAAGCCCCTCATCAGCTATTCTAATCAGAGACAGGTTCGGCAGCGTGGTGAGCCATGTACCCAACTAGCCGGGGCAGTGGGGAGGTCTTGAGTATTTTGAGGCACCCAGGGTCACAGGGCTGTACTCGCTACCCATGTGCTGTACGGGGTTCATGCCTTTCCAGTCAGCAACAGCCTTCCGCTGCAGGATACCCACGTCAGCATTGGTCACCGGGTCCGTCCCCTTCAGGCGCAAACTCTCCTCTAGCTGTGGCGGGGAAGCAGGTGGAGAGACAGAAAACAGACAGCATGAGCACAGACACCCGGGAGGAACCAGCCCCGCCCCGAGCACAGACACCAGCCCCGTGCCCACAACTGGACACAAAGCAGGGAGGGGAAGCACCAGATCTCTCCAGGAACGGTACAGCTGAGCTGCAGGGAGAAGGAGCGATGGAAAACTCAAAGAAAGAGGGGGGGAGAAGGAAGAGATGGGGGGGCGGCCTTAAGAAAAGCGGGGGAAGGAGTTTGACTTATTTGCTTGCGCAGCAGAATTTAATCATCCCCAGCCCATCCCCTGCAGCCCTGGGTGAGCCAAGCGCAGAGAGCTGCCATCTCCACCAGCGCATCAGGCCAGACGCAAAGAGCTCGTCCATTGGCTTTTCGTCACCCGGGGAATCCAGCTGGATTTGTTTTTAAATGGGCCGCCGACTCATTTGGTGCATTTTTAGGGTTCATTTAAGTCAGGTACCAACAGCTGATTCGCCAGGGCCAGCACAAGCTTCGCACATGCAGCTCTGCCAGGGCGTTTCCGTCCTGATCTGCAAGACACCAGTCCTGGGATCCCCCCCGTACAGCTTTGGCAAGATGCTTCAGTCGTCACCTGCACCATCTTCTGATGATATTTCCAGTCCTACCCTTTCCACACACAGCTCAGCCGGTGCCCCGCCACCCTGCTCTGATGCCCCCCCCCCCACTATCCCAGCCCTGGATTCCCCCCCAACACCGCTCAGCCAGTGCTCCGCAACCCTCCTCTGATGTCCCCCCCCCGCTATCCCAGCCCTGGATTCCCCCCCAACACCGCTCAGCCGGTGCCCCGCAACCCTGCTCTGATGTCCCCCCCCGCTATCCCAGCCCTGGATTCCCCCCAACACCGCTCAGCCGGTGCCCTGCAACCCTGCTCTGATGCCCCCCCCCCGCTAAACCAGCCCTGGGATCCCCCCAACACAGCTCAGCCAGTGCCTTGCAACCCTGCTCTGATGCCCCCCCAGCATCCCAGCCCTGGGATCCCCCCCAACACAGCTCAGCCGGTGCCCCGCCACCCTGCTCTGATGCCCCCCACCCCACATCCCAGCCCTGGATTCCCCCCCAACACCGCTCAGCCGGTGCCCCGTCACCCTGCTCTGATGCCCCCCCAAGTATCCCAGCCCTGGGATCCTCCCCACCTCACCCCCCAGCCCCTACTGAATTCTTGGGGCTTCTAGAGCGAAAACAGCCAATTGTGGCGGCCAAACCGCCCACTAGGGTTAAGGTGTCAACTCAGCCAGCACAAAGAGGGCTCCCAAAATCATTCCTCCGGGGCTGGAAGCAAGTTTCAAGCCAGAGACCCGGCGGCGAAAAGCCAAAGCTTATTGCAACCCCAGATCAGCAAGCCAGCAGCTGCCTTGGGGGGGGGGGGGGCGGACGGACGACTGTGCACAGAACAAAATCCTCCCCGGAGAGCCCACCCCACTGCCCAGCAACCAGCTCCCACCACCTGCTCAGCCGGGTCCCACTACCCACTCTGCCTTCCCCAGCAAATGCCAGCCGGACAGGCCTATAGCCAGTGGGGGCCAGCCTGTCCCACAGAGAGAGGAATGGATTGGCTCTCCTGGCCAGCACACTCCAGTCCTGTCCCCCAGGCTGACCCAATGGGTCACCATAAGGTAGGGGGCCCAGGGATCTGGACCCTTGGTGTATCCAGCTACTGTAGGGGGCTCTTCCAGGCCAGAAGGAAGAGCAGGGAGATCACAGACCCTCTCTAGCCTGGAGGGCATCAAGGCAGAGCAGGGCCCCCTCTGCCGGGCTCTAGCAAGGGAGGGAAATGCACAGGTTGAAGAACCTCCCAAATTCTCTCTTTTCTACTCCCGTTTTCAAAGGAAGAGCTCCCTCACTGCCCCTGCCCCCATAGGGCACAGCCTGGCACAGCTCTGCTCCCTAGGGCAAGGCATGTAAGAAGCCAGCCTGTGTGCCACAATCCCTGGGAGGGGCTCTGCAAGTCAGTTCTTGCACCCAGTGATGGTCAGCCATGGCTGGCAATGGCATACAGCTCCCCAGGCAATAACCTCCCTGCCCCCCACCCCCAGGTTCCTTCCTGGCATCCCTCTGCAAGGGGACACGGCAGCCCCCACTCCCTCCCCAGCACCCCCCGCCCCAGGCATCCACCGGCGAGCCCAGCTCAGCCCAGGCTGTAGCCACTTGCCCGCTCCACTCGCTTCTTCACGTAAAGCCCAGGGGGGTCCTCGGGGGGCACGGAGGGGGCCGGATCCTCAGGCTCCATCCTGCAGGCAGCGTCGCCAGACATATGCGTGCCCAGATCCTGGCACAGCCCTCCCTCTCCCTGCTCCAGCGAGGCACAAAGCCCCGGCGCCTTCAAGACACAGGCTAAGAAATCCAGCTGCTGGCGGGGCCCAGTTTGTGCATTGTCTCCCCTAAGCCGCCTGGAGACGCATTCACATTCAAATGGGCAGCTCGGAAACGAGACACAGAGCGACTGTAATCCGTGGCCTGGCCACCGCTCCAGCCTGCCTGCACAGGCCCAGAGGGGGTCGCGTGACCAACCCGGTGCCAGGGGGGTCTGCGGAGCAGCCAGTTCATGCTCAGCTGGAGACTGCTGGCCAGGTGTCTGCACCAGACATGGACAGACAGACGCTAGCCCCCGTCCTCGGCATGTCGGCAGACCCGCCAGGCAGCCAGAGAGCGCCGTGCAGAACTCCCCCAAGCAGCGTCACTACGGAGATTCAGAGGAGTTCAGTTTCGTTTGGTATTGGAGAGCTCCAGTGATATTCCCCCCCGGTTCTCCATCCTCGAGGGTCTTGATCCAGGACACTGCCCCTCCCCACCCCGCCCCCAAACTAATCAGTGCCAGCCTGGGGGGGTGGTTCATGAGCAGGGTGCTCCCCCTCCACACTCACCGTGCCCCAGGGCATGTTCATAGAATCATAGAATCATAGAATATAAGGGTTGGAAGGGACCCCAGAAGGTCATCTAGTCCAACCCCCTGCTCAAAGCAGGACCAATTCCCAGTTAAATCATCCCAGCCAGGGCTTTGTCAAGCCTGACCTTAAAAACCTCTAAGGAAGGAGATTCTACCACCTCCCTAGGTAACGCATTCCAGTGTTTCACCACCCTCATAGTGAAAAAGTTTTTCCTAATATCCAATCTAAACCTCCCCCACTGTAACTTGAGACCATTACTCCTCGTTCTGTCATCTGATACCATTGAGAACAGTCTAGAGCCATCCTCTTTGGAACCCCCTTTCAGGTAGTTGAAAACAGCTATCAAATCCCCCCTCATTCTTCTCTTCTGCAGGCTAAACAATCCCAGCTCCCTCAGCCTCTCCTCATAACTCATATGTTCCAGACCCCTAATCATTTTTGTTGCCTCTGCAGGAGGGCTCAGGACACAAGGAACATGTCAAGGCTCATCACTCCCTGACATGCTCATCAGCTGTGCCTCGGTTTCCCCATCTGTAAAGTGAGCACGACAACATGCACCCACCCCATACGGCGCTTTCGTGAATGACGTGCTTCGAGGTGCTTGATGTGTAGAGAAGGGGGAAGGGCTCTTACGTCTACTCCAGGCAGAGGTGTTTCAAACCAAGAGACGCTGGCTCATTTCCCCAGCGACGGCGCTCGGGGGGCAGCTTGCTAACGCAGCAGAGAAGGGGCAACATCTCAACAGCCGGTGGCACCGCTCTTCCCATGTCCACTTCTGGACCCTTACAGCACACGGCCCCAAGAGACAATGGTAACTGGCACTTCAGAAACTCTACAGGCTTGAGAGACAGGCCGCTCAATACCCGGTGAAGGGGCCGCAGGGCCAATCCGAGCCTCCCCACAGAGAAAAGGGCCTATTAGCGGCTGTGCCTGTCTGGAAGTTTAACGCCCTGACTTCACCTTCTTTAAAAGACAGACTTGTTTCTATGCTTAGAAAATGCAACGGATTTTAGCCATGCAGCAGCCCCAGGAGATCAGGTCCGCTTCTTCTCCAGTCAGATCGGGTGAATCAAGCAGAGCTGGGTTCTATTCCCAGATCTCCCAGTGACCAGCTGGGTGACCTAGGGGTTGTCCCTTCCCTTCTCTGGGCCTCAGTTTCCCCATCAGTACAATGGGGTTAATATTATCGGTCCATATTTACAAGGCATGTTAGGAGCACAGTACAAGAGCTAATATTAGAACTGATTCATATTTTTGTTTCTAATCTGTCCCTCTTCTCCTAGTCACACGCACTCTCTCTTACATCGAGCCACATACGAGCCTGAAACATACAGATTTGCTGGGTGTCCCATTTGCTCGGCTCCCTCTGCACCTGTTTGCTTACAGACGTCTTACCTGTTGCTGAAAATCCAGTTAAGCCATTATTGTGAACAGGGGCAGGAATCATGGGGAAAAGAAGAAAAAAATAAATTATCAGGCAAGCGAACAGATGAGCCAGATCACCTTGGGTCCTCTGGCTACAAAACGGGAGCTAAAAGGAAAATCATTTTTTCTCTTAAAAAAAAAAATTAAATTGTGTAATAAAATAAAAACCCAACAACAATACGTAATGCTTATTGGGCAGTCTGCCATCCCTACATCTCAAAGCACTTTACAAAGAAGAGTCAATATCTTTGTGCCTGTTTTACAGCTGGGGAAACTGAGGCTGCAGGTCAGTAGCACAGTGGGGAATTACCACCAGGACTTCCGACTCCCAGTGTGGTGCCCCATCCCCTGGATTTTGTTGCTGCATTTGCGACGGCGGTTACATGCATCAAAACCACCTCTGTGGCCCCAGAGAAGCCAAGCAAGGTCCCCGAGACCAAGAAGCCAGAGTTACCAAGCCTCAGACATGTAGCCTTCATTTTCGGGTGCCTCCCATTCACATGGGGGGAAAAAGATTCCCAACTGCAGGGGCCAACCTGCTCCCAAAGAGATTTCCGTCAGTGGCACCAAGATCTGGTCCGCTGGTATTTCGAAGCTATTCTCAATTGTTTTCAAGTCTCTCCAGTGTTTATATCGTCCCAGCTTGGTGGAGCCTGGAATAAACTCAAGGGGTGACCCCGCCCCACCTCTCTGCTCATCTCATTATTAGTATTAAGTATTCTGTAAAAGGGGCCTTTTCCAAAGGCTCAGGCCCTGGAATGAATAAAGTTTACCATCTCCCCTAGCAACTGCTGCCTTAGCAACCAGGGATTGCTTCCATTCTTCTGCCCCCGGACACCAGGAATGTTGCTAGCCCAAAATGCTCCCTCCAAAGAAGATGAGAAACCCTGAGGGGGCTCGCGCCGCCCTGCCACAGCCCCTGCTCCCCCAGTTTCTGGGCTACAAGTGCGGAGATGCCGCCAGCCCCCATAATTTGGGGGTCTGGAATATAACGGTGCCAGGTTAGGCTGCACAATTCCCAACTGGCTTGCTGCCCCGGCCCTGCGGCACTCCGCTCTACCAGTCAGTGCCCCCTCGCCACTCTGCCCTTGGCCCTGGGGCTGACAGCAGGGGCCAGTTGGTGCCAGCTGTACCGGTGATTTCACAACGGGGACACTAATCCACCAGGAAATGGACAGAGACCCATCACAGTCCGCAACTGCTGTAACACGGGCCACGGCAGCAGCACCAGCTGGGAGCACCTGCCAGTCACCACCAACCAGGACGACACTTGAAATAGTGACTGAGAAAGGCAACATGTTCCTCCAGGGATGGGCTGGGCTAGCAAAGAGGAAGGTTGCCTCGCAGATCAGGCACAGGACTGGGACTCAGGAGACCTGCATTCTGTTCCCGGCTCAGCCACCGGCCTGCTGGGTAATCTTGGGCAAGTCACGTCCCCCCTCCGTGCCTCAGTTTCCCCACCTGCACAAAGGGGATAATGATCCTGACTTCATGGTTTGAGATCTACTGATGACAAGCACTATCCCAGAGCTGTGGTTTATTAATTATTATTATTTCCATTTAGCATGCTAAATATAGACATGTAGCCTCAGCGGCACGAGGGGCTAGCTGCCCCAAGTACATACCGATGGCCGCAGACAGGATCATTCTTGAGGCGGTGAGCCTAAGTCCCCTTCCCCACTCCAAACTTTCTCCCTTCTCCCACTGCCCCACACTTGGGAACAGCCTAATACCACCCCTGTCCACTCCTTCAAACAACTCCCAACCTTCGGCTCCCGCAACCGCCCCTGGGTTGGGGTCTATACTGTGACCTACTCATGCAAACTCCTCTGCACCGCATGTTATTAGCTGGGTGCAGTTCAGCTGCCATACAGCACTACAGATGCTATCTACACACCCAAGAACACATGCAACCACCACCCACCACCCTCCCACCCCTGGGGTCCAGAGCCCACCAAGGGGCTCTGACCTAAGTGCTTTTCACGGAGATTTGTTACTGCACTTGGAGAAATCCCTGCACAAAACCTCCATTCAAGCAGCCCGACGGGTGGGAGTTGGGAGTGGGAGGGTCCCTCTGGCCCAACTTCCCCCGCGGGGCCTTCGCTGCAGCCGGAGTCGCACAAAGGACGCGACTCCGAGCCTCCGTTATAACTGCTGGTTTCAAATCAGATGCTCGGTGTCACTGGAAGGGCCTTTTCTGTGGTTTAACCACCGCAGCCCACCTGGCTGTGTCGGGCGCAGGTCAGTATCCCATCCCCAAGGTGAATGCCAAGGACACCGACGGCTGCTATCCCAATCATTAACCACCAGGCTGTTTATTTCCTCTGGGACAAGCCCCAGCAAGCCCCGGTCACATTCCCTGCAAGAACATGCCCAGACAGGCCCGTGATCCCGGCGTGGACAAGAACACACACAACTTCCCTCGGGATCAGCCAACCTGCGTATCCCACCAGGTCACTGCCCCAGACGGGCCGCTGTGCACAGGGCCCCCCGGCAGGGAAACACATTGCATTGTGCGCTGCCAGTTTTGGTTGGACTTGTTCCTGAAGGTTTCATCACATGACATAATTCTTTCATTAAAGATTAATCTCTAATGCCTGGAGACTCCAGGGCAATCCTGGAGGGGTGGCAACTCTACACGCATTCCGGGCTAAAGCCCAGGAGAGACGTGTCACCGCTCAGCCCCCGCAAGCATGTTCCCACCTTGGCACATCAATGCAAGAGAGCTGGGACTTTCCGCCCAGCAGGAGGTCGAGATCAGCCAGGCATGCAACTGCACGGGCCCCCCTAGCGAGGCAGGAGCAGCCAAGGCCGCTGCAACAATGTACAATGGTAGAGAAGCAACAACCAGGAGCCCTCTCTCCCCCCAGCACTTACTGGCCAGGGCTGAGTTGAAATGCTGCACAGACGCTCTACAAGCTGGAAACTCAGCTGCTGTATGCCCTGCGATCCAACTATCAGAACATGCTTCCCAGCCCTGCTGCAGTTCTTAATGTGGTGGCAAAGGAGCATCATTGCCTGAGGACAGCAGTTCCCTGGTTCCTAACCAGCTCTCAGCTGGTTTCAATGTGTTTATGAAGGGGAAGAGTTGGGTTTAACACCAAGCGAGCTGTTCTGAGCACATCGGCTGGGGAAGAGTCTCGAAGCGATGCGGGTCCCCACACCAGGTCGCCAACCCCAAGAGACCAGAGCCAAACCAAATTGAACCTGGAAGATTTGCTTCCAAGCCAGAACACACAGGGCCCCATCCCCAGTGTATGGGCCTCCTCCACACACACCCTCCCAGCACAGAGGAGGAGGCTCCAAGCAGACCCCTGGAGGTGGGAAGGGCGGATGTTTCTTCAGACTCAACTGCCCTGCTGCATCTCACTAAGGCCTGATGACTAGAGCTGGGCAATTAACTGATCGTTCAGTTCACTGCAAGTAATGCCAAAAAATGGGGGGATTTGAGTTATTTCGAGTCACCTGAAAAAACAAGATTTTTCTAAATTTTCAGCCAATCGAAAAGTTGGGAAAAAACGATTGTGGGTCGATCAAAGAAACATGGCAGCTCAACGTTGAGCATTAAGGAGGGATATGATAGAGGTCTATAAAATCACGACTGGTGTGGAGAAAGTAGATAAGGAAGTGTTATTTATCTTTCTCATAACACAAGAACTAGGGGTCACCAAATGAAATTACTAGGCAGCAGGTTTAAAACAAACAAAAGGAAGTATTTCTTCACACGACTCACAGGCAACCTGTGGAACTCCTTGCCAGAGGATGTTGTGAAGGCCAAGACTATAACAGGGTTCAAAAAAAGAACTAGATAAGTTCCTGGAGGATAGGTCCATTAATGGCTATTAGCCAGGATGAGCAGGGATGGTGTCCCTAGCCTCTGTTTGCCCCAAGCTGGGAATGAGAGACAAGGGATGGATCCCTTGATGATGACCTGTTCTGTTCATTCTCTCTGGGGCACCTGGCATTGGCCACTGTCAGCAGACAGGATACTGGGCTAGATGGACCGTTGGTCTGACTCAGTATGGCCGTTCTTATGTTCTTATTTTCCCTTTAATGTTTTTGTCATAAAATTCAAGGGCATTTCAAAGTGAAAAGTTGAAATGTTTTGTTTGGAAAACGTCAAAAGGAAATGTTCTGACATTTTTAGAATTTTTTTCAGTGTGTTCCTCCCCCGCCCACACTTCAAAACACTTTGGTGAAATCGACTGGAATCGGCGGAATGTTTCAGTCAACCTCACTCGTAACTCTTTTGGGGGGCAAAAAATGTTCTGAATGAAAAATTTTGCCCAGCTCCAGTGACAACCTCCCCTCCCCACGCATTACAAAGCCCCATTTCTGGCACAAAGGACTTCTCCCTGAGCACACAGCACCTGCCTGAACACAGACCTGGGGGGCGGGGGAGGATCCACTCCCATCCGGACAGGCATGGCTTCCCACACCTACCCTCTCGCTGATGGCGTTGTATTTGATGGCCAACTCATCGCGCTCAGCCCGGCTCTGCGCCAGCAGGTCCTCAACACGGGACAGCTCCTGCTGCAGGATGCGGTTCTCCTCCTGGAGGGAGAGCAGCGACGACATCTCCCCAGGGCAGGCTGCTGTGGGGAGAAGAGCGAGAACCGTAGCAGAGCAGGGCAGGATGGGCATCAGCGCCCAGCTGGGGGGCCCACCCTAGAGCCACAGGGAGGCAGCTGCCTGGAGAAGAAGCTGGCCCTGTGGTTCTCCTAGCAGGGGTTCAGATCGCCCCGGTTTAAGGTCTTGGTAACAGGCATGACATCAACAATACGAGTGACGCGGCCGCATGGGTGATCACGCACGTTCCATGTGACGCACCCATCGGTGCCACAGAGTGAGGTGGGGCTAGCCCAGCCCTGTCCCCTTCCTGCCGAGCCCAGGGCAGCGTTGCAGCAGGGAGTTCCAAGGAGCCCTCAAACACAAGACTCCCAAGGCAGTGGCCAGTGGCAGCACGAGATGTAGAGGCCTTTGTGGTAAGACAGAGGCAGGACTGAATACAGAGGAGATACTTTACAGAGGCTGATGGATAGAGGCAGGGTCCAAGAGGTGGAGAAGAAAGTGGGGTCGGGGGCCCTGGGGGGCGGATATCAACTGAGGTACAAGGCAGCTGTAGCTCCTAGCCCCTCCCTGGGCTGCATCGCTTTGCTGCCTAAATCAGCGACCACCTTTGGCAGTGGGCCACCAGGCTGGGCGCTCCACCAGCGCACAATCCCGGGCATTGAAAGGGTTAATCTGGCTGTCATGGGTGGCCCAGCTCTCCCCTGGCTTGGTGGGCCCCACAGCAAGGGAGGTTTTGTGCGGGGGGCCACAAAGCCCCAGTTTTGCCCAGGCAACATTCACCTCTGCATGGGGGACGGGGGATTTAGCAAAGCAGCTGCCCTGCTTGGATCCAGAGGGATCACTGCAGGCTCAGGTCTAGTCTCTGCAAAGGCGGCTATATTCTACACCATCCAGCCTTGGTCCTGAGGCTCCTGGCAAGCTACCAGTGCAGCCATCAGGTGGGCACAGCCCGGCAAGGGCCAGGAGCCGAGAACCCACCGAGAAGCTGCTCCTTGGTGGCTGTGGTTTAGTGTGGCCGGGCAGAACCCACGTGCTGCCGCAGCACGAGGCTCAGCCCAGTAGGCTACGGCGGTGAGCGGGTTAGCCTGATGGACCCGGAGAGCGGCAGGGGGGCAGGACTGCCACAACCCTACCTGGGCTCTCCTGCTCCGACAGGTTCTCGGCGACGATCTCTCGGATCCGGGCGAGGAGGCGGGTGGGTGGCGCGTCCTCAGAGCTGCTCCGAATGGTAAAACTCTTCCCCTCCCCTGAGGTCAGCACGCTGCTCTCCAGCTTCTGTTGGGAGTGAACACAGCAGGCTGAGCGCGGGAGCCAGGCTAGTTCCCCCTACAGACAGGGCCTACCCCAGGAGACCTCCATAGCCCATACGGCCTCCTCCTGGCCCTTCGTGGCCCTGTGCACCTTGGCAAATCCCTTGAACTCACCCTGAACCTTCCTGGGACTGCAACTCTTGCTCCCCAGATGGTCATACTGGAAGGCAGCCTTGCGCTGCTCAGACACCAGTCAGTCAATCAAGACACAATGCCCGGCCGTCCACCCCTCCTAACCAGCTGTGACTGGGATACAGGTGACTCACTGTGGAGAGGCCAAAGACAGGAGCGTGGGATGCTCAAGACTCCGTCTAGCTGGATTGGACCGAGGTCCACAGAAACGTCACAGGCAAAGGCAGCATGGAACCAGTGGATTAGCATCCACCCTGCTGACCTGGGTTCAAATCCTGCAAGTCTGGCGGGTTTCACCCTATCCCATATCCAGCCCTGCTGCAAACTCACTGCATGCACCTGCTCAGGAGAGGGCCAAGCCTGCAAGTGGCCCAGGACGGAGGAGTGGGGCAGAGATGAGGGAGGAGCAGCAAGAACAGCGGTGGGCATGGGGGAGTTTACACAGCCCCCGGCTACTCTACACGTCCTTTGCTTTGCTAAGAACAAAATTCACCCCAAACAGGAGAGGAAAGAAATGTCAGCAGGAGCTGGGAAAAGGAAATATTGGGGGGAGGGAGAGATTTAGCAGCCCCTAACCCGCAGATGCTAGTGTAAGAGATCAGTGCCCCAGCACCCCCACGATGGGACTCAGCCAGGGACAAATAAATAAACCGAATCCACTGGACTTTATGACATCCCACAAAAATCCCTGGCAACACCCAGGCTGCCGGCTACTGCGGGTTCCATTTTTCATCCTCATTTGCTTAAACGTGGCAGCATTTTTCCGAGGGAGGATGAGAGCACCTCTGGGGTCCTGGTCACATCCTGCCTGTCCTGGGTTCAGATCACGCGGGAGAAAGTCCACATCAGGCTCCTGGGTCATTTCCCCTTCACTTGTCACCAGCAAGGCCGATGGATGGTTGTTTCAGATGCAACAGGACCAACCCCACCCTTCCCCGAGGGAGATTCACGGGGCCAGGCCAGACCTGATAGTCACTGGGGTCAGGCTGAGAATGAGAGGACAAGAGGATTTTTACTGTCAGCCCCAATCAAGGGGGCGACAGATCCTAGCCTCCAGCTCCTGGCCCTGGGGAGAACAATCCTCACATCCCATCGCTCGCTCTCTAGTGCTGGGCTGACAACCCAGGAGGCTGAAGTCCTCAAGTAGGGCCTGATCTAAAGCCCGCAGAGGTTGATGGTGGGTCCTTCGCAGGCAGGGCAAGCTCCCACCGGGACACCATCCATTCAATCTTCGGCCTCACCACAGAGGCAAAGGGGGCTGGAGGTGAGAAAGGTTTTCGTGGGGCGTGGAAATCTGAGCACTAGGGACCTGGTCAGAGACCAACCCACTCGCTTTACACAGGCCACTGAACAGTCACCAGGATGGAAGCAACTTCCATCGCTCCTGGCAGTTCAGAACCCAAACCGAGAGCTTGGAAGCAAAAGGCTCCCGGTTCCATTACCAAGCCCCAGCCCCTCCACTTACCCCATGAGGAGCCTGGATTTGGACCCAAGCTACTCGGGGTGCAGCTCAGAGCTGTGACACCCCCAGAACCCAGGAATGGGCAAAGCACTTTGCAAACACTTTTGAGGTGCAAACTCCCCAAGAATCCCTTACAAACACGATCCTAATCTCTCCCTGCCCCACCACGCCCGTCCCCGCCAGGGCAATACGGACAGGCATCCTTTACCCGTTGGCTCATCTCACACCTGAGAGCTCTACGGTATCTTCCAGAGAGACTCTCCCCCTGGCCTGGAATGGCTTGGACTTGGAGTCGGACCCAGCCCTGCCTCCGAACCTGGTTCCTTGGCAGCTTTCATTTCAGGGGATAAAAATAGTGCCCTAATACATTGTGGTGACCTGCACAGGGGGTAGAAAAGTTGGGCTCATGCCCTTTTCTGCTTCTTTCCCATTCTACGATAGATAGACAGATAGATAGAGGCCTCTAAGGGGGCCCTCCCCGGCTGTTTTTGTAACAGAGGTAGGAGTTCTTGTCCACCCCGTTCCCACTGGAGGACTCTGCAGCCAGCAGGAGAACTTTGAGGATGATGCGATTACAAGCTTGAAACCGGAGCAACGGATGTTTTTTTAAAAAAACACTCATATAACTCCAATGCCTGGCACATGCTTGGAAGACAAACACTCCAGGATGGATTGAAATACACCACCGCTCCTTTAATACCTGGCTCATACATCTCCCACCCTGAGTCTCTAGCTGTCCAAGCAACAAGTGGGAAGGCAAGATATAATATTCCAGATATTGTATGGTTAAAAAAAGGGAGGGGGGAGAAAACAACCTTTCAAACTTCACCTATACATCCTAAAAGCTGCATCAGCTTGGCAGGTCACCCTTAAAGCAACCAGCATTTTCAAGGAGGCCCTTCAGGACTGGCACATACACTGTTGCTACCCAAACAGTCAAGTATCTGGAATATACCAGGGCCCTGATTCACCTCTCGTTGGCCCCAGTATAAATCGGGTTTCAGAGTAACAGCTGTGTTAGTATAAATCGGGAGCAGCCCCACTGCAAGCAGTGTGAAACCGGTGTGAAACCCGAATCAGGCACTGGGTCCCCCAGCAATTCTCACTGGCACTGGGAGGTGTAAAACAGCTAAATAGCCACAGCAGGGAGAGCCGGAGCCCTGGGCAAGAGAGGGGGAGTCGGCGCCTCACTTACAGGCTCCGCTTGCAAGACGAGGAACCGCGTTAATCCAGGACAGCCCTGGGGTCCTGCAGGCCGAGTTTCTGATCCGGAGTGAGACCAGAACCGGGCGCTCCCCCCTCCCCGCTAGTCACTGCCCCGGATCCTTTCAGCTCCGCGTCTGGACCAGTCCCTCGTAAAAGCGAAACCATCCCACCAACCTGGATCACCGCCTCCAGCTTCAGCTCGGCGTCCGCTGCGCGCTCGGGGGCGCTCATGGGGAGGGGGGGTCCCCCCGAGAGATCCGCGAGCCCCCCACCAGCCGGCCCAGCCCCTCTCCCCGGCTGCTAGCGGCTCAGGAGCGTCCCATCGCCGGCGGCCACCCGCGGGCTCTGCCCCGGGGACAGCGGCTGCTCCGCGCCCACGGCGCCACAACCGGGAATTGGGGCTTAGGATTAAGTCCCGCTCCCGCATGTGACCCACGGGCAGGGAGCCCCCCGGGCGGAGGGCAGGCGGCCTGGGAATCCCGCCCCTTCCTGCAGCTCTCGCTCCTGGACGTCCTCCCCCGGCTCGGGGTCCTAACGCTCCCCGGCCGCCTGCCGGCAGACAGCGGCGAGGCGAGGCCCGGGCCGCGCACACCGGGGCGGGCTCACTGAGCCGGCCGGCGCCCGGGGCCGGGACGTAACCCGGCCCAGAGCTTTGGGCCGGCTGTCGCCACCGCAGGAGCCCCGAGCGCTGGGGGAGAGAGCGGGGAAGTGGAGTCGACGTTTACTGGTGCCCCCCAAGAACTTTGGGGAGACGAGGATAAAAGGGTGATAAAACGTGCTAATCGACACGTTTTAAAGCTGAGTGTGCATAGGGTGAAGGATTATACTGAGGCCAAGAATTCAAGATTCAAACAGGGAGTGGACATTTCTATCCAGATGGAGAATCTGCAGTTGCTATTACTGACAAGGAAAACTTTGGAAGGGATATTCAGCCTCGTGCTTCAGGGCTTAAGGCAATCTCTAACTATTAAAGAGCAGGATAAGACCCCGTGTGGAGGGCAGTTTACCCCACATCTGCCCCCTGAAGTGGGGGGTCTTGAACAGTGGCGGATTAGCCACTGGGCCAACGGGGTCCATGCCCAGGGGCCCCAGACAACTGGGGGGGGGGGCGTAAAAATGGGATCCCAACCCACTCTGCACACCCACCCGGCACTCCTGCCAGGGAGCCGGGTCAGGGCATAGGGGCTTGCCCCACTCCGCCCGCCCGGCACGCCTGCCGGGGTGTGGGGGAAGCCCATCCCCGTTTCCCCAGCAGGAGCATGGGGGAGGGGGCAGGGGGACTGCAAGTGGAAGGGGTGGAAAGGGGCCCCCACTTGCTCTGGCCCAGGGCCCCACAAAACTGTAATCTGCCTCTGGTCTTGAACCTTCTTCTGAGGCATCTGATGCTGTCCACTATCAGAGGCAGGATACGGGGACAGACAGACTGATCCAGTCCAGCACCTGCTATCCCTCAGCATCCCGGAATCTCACAGACAGCTTGGGCCTGAAAGCACCTTCCTTTCAGTAGCTAGCAGGAAACACAGATTCAAATGATCAGACTCTTACTAGTCAAAGGCTGATGTGACAGATTAAGCCCCCAAGAAGGGTCCAGAAGAGAAATCACCCTGCTAGAAAACCCAGCACCTCTCCCAGGCCTGAGAATTTTGCTGTAAATCACACTATGCTTAAAAAAGTACAGTACTCTCAAATGTGTTCATTAACTCCTCCCCTTTCTGTGCCCCCTGCCACTAAGGGGTCGGGAGAATCAGACGAATACTTTGCCCTTCTCTGGAGCCTTTTGCCCAGGAAAAGCCCAAGGCGCTTTACAGATGGTAATAAAGCCGCACAGCACCCCTGGCAGGTGGACTGTATTAGACCCATTTTACAAATAGGGAAACCGAGGCACAGAAAAACAAACGTGAATCGCCCTAGGTCACCCTGCAAAGTTGGTGGGAGAAGCTGGAAATGGAACTCAGTGAGTCCATCTCCCTGTCTCCTGTTCTACCCACTAAGCAACACTGTCTTGAATAAAGGCAGCTTCAACCTAGCAACCTGGTCTCCTGAGAAGCCAGAGGGATGGGCAGCAGGATTTACAACAACCGAAGCAACTGGCCCAAAAAGGCCATTATCCTGACCCAATCAGGTTAGACTGCGTCCTCTTGCCTACCGAGGCACAGTGCATCTAAGGGTATGTCTACACTGCACCGGGCAGTGTAACTGCAGCTCAGACAGGCATGCCAGCGCTAATCCTGCTCGCACAACGGAGAATAGCAGGGGAGACGCAGCGGCACGGACCCGCTGTACCTGGGGCTCCCGCTGGGCTTGCCCAGGCCGAGCTGAAGCCCGGGCCACCACATCTTCACTGATTTCTTTAGCCGTATTCCTAATGGGCATGCCTCCCCGAGCTGCACTCCCACCTCCGACTGCAGGGTAGACGTACCCAAAGACACAGGATTCACACGGTCTTTCTGGGCTCGCAGCTGGGACCCCGACTTTACACTTCTCAGCTGTCTCTGGCACAAGCATTTTTAGAAGAATTTCCCACTGCTGCACTAGTGCTGGGGAAACTCTGCTGGTGCTAGCGATCGTGCAAACCCCAGCAGGGGCCTGTCACTGGTGTCACCACCACTGCCTCAGCTCACCTGCCCTCCGGTGGACGAGGCTCCAAGGGGACATCTCTGGTGTCACCAGCATCATCCTCCGCAGGCAAAGCAGGGCGCACTAGGACCCAAGAGTAGCCTGGCTTTGGAGGGGGGGAAGGGGGGGATCAAGCCAATGGGGGAGAGGGATGGTGCTTCACCCAACCCCTAAGCAACCATCACTATGACAACTTCAAACCTCCATTCCTGTGGTGATACAAATGTGGGCAAACTCCAATGCTGAAGAATCCCGCCTTTTCAGACCTTGATCGGGCTAAAGCAGAAGAGAGGCCCTTTGATTTCAGTTTTTACTTTGCTAAACTTTCCTGGTAACTTATCAGTATTTATTAGTAGGGGGGAGGGATAGCTCAGTGGTTTGAGCACTGGCCTGCTAAACCCAGGGTTGTGAGTTCAATCCTTGAGGGGGCCATTTTAGGGATCTGGGGCAAAAATTGGGGTTTGGCCCCGCTTGGGGGTTGGAGTAGATGACCTCCTATGATTCTATTACAAAAATTAAACAGCGGGTGAAAATCAGTGCAAAAAATTAACAATTTTCAGGATAAAGATCAGATTTACTATCAGGAGAGGGGAGGACAGTAAAAAAGCAACTAATAGAAAAAAGTAAAAGTATTGAAAGTCAAAGCAGTTTAATATTGTGGTTTACTTCACAAATTGGACATGAACCGTATTTACACACATGCACACCCATGCGTGCATCTTCCACTACATTGCCTTATTTTAACAGACAGCCTCGTTTCTAACACTTTGACTGACTTCTTATTAACATAAACGCTCCCACCTAATGGAGTGATTAGATTTCCTTACCATAGTCAGTATTTTCATGTACCCAAGTGGTCCCAAATTTGGCTGTAAATCAGTAAAAATGGAACAACCGCTTTTGTGAAACCTGGAAATGTTTCCGTAAAAAAAGAGTAACTGAAAATGAAAGGCCCTAAGTAGAAGCAAAGGTTGGAAGAGCCCAGTGTTCCCCACCAGGCCATCTGTAGAGAGGTTAGGTTGGTAAGAATCCTTCCCAAACATAAAAGTATTTTCATCTTAAAATCAGCCTGTAAACTAAGAGAATCTCATACAAATAAACTGAGAATGAATGAGGTAGAAATTAACAGCTGCAGCTAAGCCCAGAAATCCTGCTGTCTCTGCTTGTCAGCATGTCTACACTAGAAACACCCTTTTCGGACACTGTTGTTAGCACTACCTATGTTGCCATGCTCTATACGTAGGTGTTCCTTTAGAAACTCCTACGACAGACAGACTGGTTCTGGAGCTGACTGCTCAGATCTCAAACACCCCAGATTTCATGGGAGAAATGGCAGACACTGGATTCAAACCCCCCAAAGGCTGTCCCGCCAGGTGCTTTGATCCTAAATCAGATCTCAGGGCAGAAGAACCCTGATTTCTAGGTCCAATTGGCTCCCAGTCCAAGAGGGTGGAAAGCTCACGAGCCAGCAAAACTTCTGCCATTTGAGGGATGTGGATGATGGGCTCTTCAAAGCCACAGGATTTTCTCCCCCAGAGTCCCATCCTTACACAATGAAAGGCTCAGGTGAGCCTCCGGCTGAGTCCCACTGAAAGTCAATAAGGGCAGCAGGGCTAGAACTCTGCATGAGCAGACACACACAGCCAGACAAACTGGGCAGAGCCAGGCCACTGTAGCCTCGATGCTTCCCACATCCATGGAAGGGGGGTTTCTGTGGATGCAGTTAATCCACCTCTCCAAGAGGTGGTAATTCAGCTGACTGAGGAATCCTTCCATTGACCTACCTGCATCTTTAGTGGGAGTTAGGTCGACTTCACTATGGCGCAAAATTTTTTCCAGCCCTGAGCAACGTAGCTTGGTCGATCTGTTTTAAGATGTAGACCAGGCCTCAGTAACATGACCCGTGTGACATGACGATGAAATGTAGCCTCAGCTCGACCACCCTTATTATTATATTACAGTGGTGCCCAGATCAGGATCAGGGCCATATAGTATGGTGTACTGTACAAACAACATCAAGTCCCTAAACCAATGAGCTTGCAGCGTAATGCCCTGATCCTGCCCTAAAAATCAGGCAAGTGAGCCCTGGTGGTCACGCAGAACCACTCTGAGGCACCCGGGTGAGCAAATTGCAAGGTCAGGGCTCAATTTCAGACAAGATGCAGTAAGTGCCTAAGGCAGAGAGAGGGGTGCTCAGTTTACAAAGGGAAAACAATATTTTCCCCTAACTGCCACCCCTGCAGAATCACCCCAGACTCACAGTCAAGCTGGCCTCTCCTTCTCAGACATCACCAGGCATAGAGCTCCACCAGGTCACGTTTTGCCTTCCCCGACAGCTGTGCCATGCCCACTGCTTTCAGTGGGGTTGTGCAAGTGTAACTGACCGGAACTTAGCAAACAACACACAAGGAATAATAGAGTCCAACTCCCCCCTCTGCCAGACGCGTTGGCTCCTACAGGGAAACGGGAGTAAAAACTTATGTGAGGGTCTAACTAGTGGCGCAGTGATGCTGAGATGCCCCTGGGGCCAATCGAATGGGGGCCACTTGCCCAGATTCACTTTTTAGAGGAGACCCACATTGCAAACAAGGGTTGTGCTCTCAAGGTAACCAAACAAGAAGCCAGTGACTTAAAGCCCCACATAGATCAAGTACAGGTGTCACAGACCTATCCCTACCCCAACCCTTCTGCTGGCTTGACCTCAGCGCCTCTTCCCGCAGGGGGCTTTGCGGACGTCCCTTGGGTTTACAGGCAGCACAGCTGACTCTCGACCACGTAAACCCAGCCCTGCTGACCTGAGGCGGGGATGATCATGATATTGTGAGCTGACCCTGCAGGGCAGCCGTGCAGG